AATATAATCACTACGTTTATCGTAAACACGAATAAAATAAAAACAGCATATCTGCCGTCATAAGAAAAAAGGGCGCATCTAACAATTTTTGAAAAAAATAGTTAAATATACCATTCGACTCAAGATAAAAAGGCGCATCTACTCAATTTTTTTAATATTCAAAAATATCAATATTTTAGAAAATATCGTAAGAGTTTTAGACGTAACTGTTATATGTGTATATTCAGTAGAATTGTATTATTTCATTTTATTAATGACTTGCCATTTTAGTTTATTTAGAAGTAGGTGGCGCTAATATAACATAAAATAATGAAATCCAAAACCTAGTAATATAAGCAATAGAAGCGAACATTTATTTATTATATCAATGAGGGATAAAGTGAAGTCAAATCTCTTAAAAGTTCTGTTTCTGTTAAAAAATACGCTATCAGCGCCCCTAGTGGTGAAAAACGATTTAATGATATCGTCAATAGACCATATTATAAAATAGCAACGTTGTGTTTAGTTATAACTATCTTCAAACGATTTCTATTCATTGATTTGGTCAAGCTATATCATGGTTGACATGGTCAACAAATAGTGTTAAATATCACGAAATGACCACACCATTTCACGAAATGATAAGAGAGTACTATCATTCACACTGAAGAGACTACTTTATGATATATGATCAATTCTACGATCTGGTCACGACATCCATAAAAATCTTGAATAAAACTATAATGATAATGAAAATTTTGCAACAATTGCAAATTTCAACAGTGGTCACCGGAACCGGTGCCACGCGGCAGCTTTTGCTGTCGCACGGATGGGCAGGCTCGAACCGGCGTGGTACCACGACCTCACAGAAAACCAGCGTGAAGTAGAGGTTTACCTCTGCGTTTCGCTTGGTGAGTGCAGGTGCCCGGAGGCCCTTTTTACTGGAAATGAGGCATTCCATCTTAGTCCGCATCTACATTTTGATTTGTAATAGAGGATAGATGTAGATGTCTATGGGCCGCAGCAACCACTTACCATCAGGTGCACTGTGTGCTCGTTTGTCACCCTTATCCTATAAAAAAATGCAGACAGACCAGTATTAATCACTTACATATATATTAGCAATTCAAATAAATACCTTATCAATTTTTATATTTATGATAGACGTCACTATTATCTATTGAAATTATTACACTTTCAAAATAAAATAACAAAAATACCAAAAAACTTAACGTTAGAGTTTTTTAATAATTTTAAAAATCTAATAATTTAATCATATAAATGTAAGTTATTTATATAATTTCATTTATTAGTAACTGAAGGTAAAAACTTTTTCCATTTGATGATAGATGGCGCTGTTTTGAATACCAAATCGGTGTAGTTTCAAATTAATTTACCAAGATTATAACTATATTTTAAACTTTATCTACAAATATGGTATTTATTTGAAAACACCCGTCATCCCGCCTATAACTAAGATATAATAGAAAATTAACATCTAAAGGAAATAAAATACTTAACCTTCCTTTTTTGAAGTTCCGTAATCGGATAAAAAGTAGCCTATAAGTTGCCCCGGGTTACTCACTATCTACATACAAAATTTCATGTAAATCGGTTCAGTAGTTTTTGCGTGAATCGGGAATACACAGACAGACAGACAGACAGACAGACGGACAGACAGACAAAAATTCTAAAAACCACTAATTTGGCTCCAGAACCCTTTATTTAGTCCCCTGGACTTGTTTTTTCAGGAATATATTAGAATTACAGACACGACTTTTCTACAGATTTATTATATGTATAGATATAGATAAATACATACTTTTTTTTGTAAATAAATACCCCAATAAAAATAATTATTGAAACTTTTTCATAAATGAGGTTGTACAAAAAGATCATCTAACTACCTAGTCAGGTCATAAATTCTGTCACATGTTTAATATAAAATAATTGAAACAAGTTTATTCATTATGTAACCATTTATATACCAAAATGAACTTAACAAAACAGATTCTTATGACACTAAAGTTTATTCAAAATGACCTCCGTGATTTTGCATACAGGCCTTCAATCTGCACGGCCAGTCGTCTATCGCAGCACGAACGAGGTCCATGTCAAAATCGGCGGCTGCCTTAATCAAGGATGTTTTGAGTGACTCCAAATTGGGATGAGGCTTTGAGCACGCCTTTTCCTCCAAGTGTTGCCATATCTTGTAATCTAACGGATTCAAATCTGGACTGGAGGAGGGCCAGTCTTCGTGCCGGATGAAGTCTTGTTGGAATACCCAATGCCTGTTATTGAACATGGTATGAGAAATAGGTTCCACAAGGTTCGTCAGGACTGTATTTTGATACACAACCGCATTTGTTTTTACATCTTTCTCACAAAAATGTACCTCTGTTAAGCCCCAATAAGAAACTCACAACCATACCATGAGCGAGGATGGAAAATGACCTCGTTGCACACGCGGAATACGGTTGCTTGCTTCTTCACTACTGTGTGCTTACACCTTATCATTTTGTTTGTTATAGCTCTCTTTTACGGTAAAATTTTTTTCATCCGAAAAAAGAATTTTCCGATATTTTTTTCCCGCGTACCGCTTCAACAATCTCTTCAGTCTCAGGTCCATTAGACGAGCATTCAAACGATGTCCTGTTTTTCTTCGATATGCCCGAATCCCTAAGTCTTCATTTAACACCCTTTTCACCGTGGTTCTGCTTAACCCCATCTGAAGGGCCAACAGTTTCTGCGTACGTTTGGGATTTCTTTGAATTCGCGCCTTCACAGCTTTTATCACTGCTGGAGTCCTAACAGACCGAGGGCGACCACTTTTTGACCTGTCATCTACACTAGAGTCTTCATTGTATCGTTTGATTGTACGATAAACGAATCTTTTGGTTATATTCAAATTTTTCAGTATGTCAAAAATTTGAATTGGCGCGTAACCGCAACGATGCAACGCAATAACTGCAACACGGTCTTCTTTAAGCGTCCACTCCATATTTAAAAATGAGTAAAATTCTAAAAAGTATATAGTTTTATTTTCACGAACAATTCGAAATTCGAATTCAATAAACTTTTTTGTGGCCAGCATTCTAAAAGAAAAGTTTTTACTGTGTGACAATACTTATGACCTGACTAGGTATTACACTTCCTAGTGCAATTGTCCATCCAATGAAGATGATGAACATGCCATCAGGCTACAATACCAGCTGCTAAATTTCATCATCGCATATCGCAACACAACTCAATACCATTCATATCGTCTGGATGATTGGAGGCCCACCACTGTGCAATTTACAATGTTTTCTTTTTCGCACAACTTCCTAGTGGAATCGGCTACAATCGGCGATTTTCCGGACTTATGCAAAACGTACCTACAATACCCCTGGTGTTGCAGTTATTCATGGGCGGTGGTATTCATTTACTATGAGGTAAGCCGCAAACTCGTTTGTTCCCTCTTATAAAAATAAGGTGCAAGGTTGAGGTCGAAGGTGATACTTCAGTCTCCAAAACCTGTCAGAAAGATTATGAAATGATTGATAGAAAAAGGGAGATGGGCAAATATTAAATAAGACAATAATTCTGTGAAACATTGAATGTTGTTAATTCATCATATATTAATATATTCGATAAATAAATAGTTAACTATTTTGTATTATACATACTATGTCATACATGACTTATGTTACATGTGCTAAAATTTCAGATTACATTCATATTATGTAATCGTTTTGAACAGAAACAAACAAATTGCTTTAGCTACATAGTACGTCTTAGTTATTGCACAGTTGAACGTTCGAGTTTAGTTGAAACATTCAGATAAATTTACTATAAACATTATTAATAGTATTCTCATATCAACATTACAAGTCTAAGTATAGAATTAGAATAAAAAAGCTGTTGGATATCACTCGAGCGTATTTTCTTCTTTTTTTTTATTTTAATTATATTAAAACATTGCAATGTCAAAATCTAGTTTGTGACCAAAAGTAACAGGCGCCCGATTAAAATCAACCCGCGCGAAAACTTACATGAGATCAATAGGTATATCAAAAACTGCTCCTTGAGCGCTACTCTACGTGTTTGATTACACTTTACAATTTACATCAGCTGATAAATATGTATTTTTTAAATTTTCTACGTTACCTTAAACCCTAAGTGTATAACATTAACTTTACTTCAAACTTTCTATTCAAATAAAGATCTCCAAATTGTCTTAAAGTAGTATTAATCATTTGTAGTTACAAAAATTTACATCAAAGTCTATTCGGTGTTCTCTGCTATTAATGGTGTTATTTAATTGGCCTTTTGCGATATACGGCGAGCTGACACTAACAAATTATGGATAATATTTTGAAATTTAGTAATATAATTGAGAAAAATTTAAATACATTACAAACTATTCACATGAACCACAAAAATATATTATATGTTTTAATATGGCAAGTGACCGGACTCCAGACAAACTAGTACATACTATACCGTACTAAAAGAGAAAAAGGCGCAATATAATACAGTTAGAATAACAAAAAATGTTAACATAATTTGCTATAAAAGTACAACATTCCTGTTTGCCTGCATACCTTTAATAAATGTAGCTGTAATAAAAAAAAAGTCTTAACATAATGTTACATTATTTTTCGAATTTCTAGTAAATTAAACATTTTTTTTTATTTAAAATAAATTGACATGAAATATTAGACTACGCATTTAACTATCAAATTAGCTGCGACGTCACAATATCAACCATTTTATAATACCAGACCCACATCCGAGTTAACATATTATGTATTGATAGTGACTAACGAACTGAGGTTCATCATTAAATTTAACTTCAGTAGAGTTTATTTCACGATAAAAGAAGTCTGTAGTGCCATTTTAAAAATTATATATAGCCCGAATTTATTTATTAGAACCAGTTTAACGAACACAGATAACAATTGACAAACAAGGTATGGAAATTTTGTGCCCCATCAGTTTGCGTGCGATTCGGGTGCGGGCTTGGCGCGCGGTTTGCGCTACATGGCCGTCTTTAACCGTATCTTCTTCAAATGCGACGGCGACGGGTTAGGAAAAGACCTTCGCTTACCCGGCATCGCAATCGACTCCGGATGGGACATACCACTCTGCGATCCCAAAACTGTGCCGCCGGCTATGTCCTCCCAGTTACCACCTATATCCTCAGAGGATGAAGACGCTACTGGCCTGCAACGGTTGCTTCCGGATCTTGTCACCGTCCCACGTATCGACCGCGCGAAGTTTCGCTTGGCTAACTTTGCCGACACCATACCTGAGCGGGAACTTTCCGTGTCATCGGCCGAACGTCTACTTACTTTCGCTTTCACTACACCTGCTTGGCTTTTGCTCGAGTTCGGTTTGCGTATCGCCAATATATTCCGCCTTTTGGTGGATAGAGTCTTCGGTTTCGGTTCGTTTTCGGCCAAGTATTTCGTCCGTGACGTTTTAACAGGCTCGGCTTTTTTAACGTATTTCACGTTTACGTTGATGATATCGTGTCCGGAGCGCGACGCAAGGATCGGCGGGCTACGTTTTCGTTCGGTGTCGCTCTTCGCCCCCGCATACGCGTTTTCTTTGCGTTCGTCGATCACCTTTGTCTTTGTGCGTGCGTACAACGGTACCCTTGTCGGCGACGTTGTCTTCGGTCGCAATCGAGACATCGTGAGCTGTAATAATTTTCAAGATCAACGTCATTTGTTTCAAATTAAAAAGACGCGATTTTGGCCGTCGCATATTATATGAATCGTCTCAACAATCAACTCCACTTTCATTTGGATTCAGCGACGCAATGTGTTCAGTTAGTCACAAATGCGCTGTCAACTTGTGGCCGACGAGTAGCAAGCCGGCGTACAAAATATAGGGGTGCTAAGTGCACAAAACCTGTATAACGCGTGGACTAGACGTCATACATAACTTTTATTTAAATTTAGAGAATTTCTGTATATTACTTTGGCTCGGAGTTGGTGTTGACGTTACAATGTGCGACGGTCATTACACTGTGCTTACATAACTAAAACCACACACCTACATATATGTTTTAGTACGTATTTGTGGTATGATGTTAATAAATTAAATTGGGACAACACACAATCCACTCTGAAATTGGTTTCCTTACCCTGATTATTAATTAAAATGCTGGTTGATTATTTATAGAAGATTAACACTGAAAATTAAAGACATGTGTTATAAACAAAGAAAGAATTGTAATTAAAAAAAGAGCGTTAAGTAAGGATTGTCAAAGTTAAAATATGATTGAGAAAAGAACAGAAGAAATGTGTAAGAAGAGATCATTTCTTAATAAAAATTATTTGGTCTATAATAGGAAGTTAGTTTTAAAATATTATGAAAATATTTTTTTCTGACTAGAAAGGAATTGATAGGTTTGATAAATTCCATATTGGTACGATCATAAGTAAGACCTATTGCATGGTGTCACTGGATCGGCTACTCGATCTCTAACTCCACACTAGGACGGGGAAGCCGAGCGCCAGGAAAACAAGGCTAATAATTAGTGTTTCTATAACTGGCTGAGGCCACGAAAGTAATCTGTAATATTATGTAAATACTAGACTGACTAGATTTGACACGTGATCATTGTGCACTTTTTGTGTGTGACCTTATGCGTGTGTGTTATGTGCGTGCGTGTGTGTGTGTTATCTCTCGTGTTATGGTGTGTGTGCACTTATATCTACAGCCTCGCGTTACACGGGCATGGGTGTATTTTTTATGCGTGTGCGTGTAACCTGAGTACAGGTGCAATATGTGTGTGTGTGTGTGGGCGTGCGTGTGCGTGTACCTGCGGGCGCGCGGTGCGCGTGTGCGTGCGCAGCCAGTCGCGCAGCGCGGCGAGCGTGCGGTGCTCGGAGCACGGGATGCGCGAGTTGGGATGCTGCCCCGTCACGTCCAGGATCGACGCGCCCAGTGCCCGACCCACCTGCGCACACATACACTCTACAAAGTCTCATTAAAATTAAACCAAAATTAAATTCTAACGACTGCTTCCTAGTTCGTCGTAAGCGCAACTGTTGATCATGAGTATCCGAGGTCGAATCCGGGTCGGGCTATATTAAATTATTTATGGATTTTCCTGTCAAGAAATTCTCAATAGCAACCTGGAATTAGTAAGTTGGCACTGTCTTTTTTACGCACGTAAAATCGTTGATCCTGTGTCTAATCTCTCTCCGGTGATGTCTAATTTCCATCCCATTGGACGGAATAAGGAATGAAAATGAAGGAAATGAGAGTGCACATGTGTTTGCGCACACACTCTTGCACAATAATCCTGTCCTGTGCATTATCGAAGACTTGAAGATAACTGGCCGCCGTGACCGAAATTCGGTCTGGAGAACAAAAGATTGCAATGATCCTGGGTTCGAATCATAAGTAAAGTCAACATTTATATAAAAAATCTTGTGTTGTCATAAGAGTCGTTTTAGACCATGCACAGGGGCCCAGTTCAAAGTTTACAGGCTTTTTAAAAAATCAAGAAATATGTATTAATTTATATCTATTTTTATTTAATAATTAATGATTTTACCCAAAATAGTGGTATAAAGTATATATACAATATAAATGTGTTTTTTAATTGATTTAATTTCGTAAATAATATATGACCACGTGTTTCAACACGTTGGGACCCAGCTCGGCTCTTCCTGACTCGTGCAATATGTACCCCTGAAGATTTAAATAAAACTAGTTTTTACTGATTATATCTCGTATGTTAACTTATTTTATATTCCCGACGTTTCGGTTTATAAAAAATACACAAACCCAATGGTCCACTACGTCCAATAGAGAGCCAATCGATTCACCAACTTACAGATTGGCTCAACACTTAGCGAAAATTATGTACACAAAGATTTGAATCATATTTGTTTACTAAAAATGTTGGACAAAGATTTCTGTACGCTATTTACACAATAGTGCTTTACTAAGCCGCAGTGACTACATTGTCTGGAGATTTTGAAAGAGACTAACAAAATCAAACTAAAAATCTAATAAATACCCAAAACTACGTGTGTGTATAGCAGACAAGTTTGTATGAACTTAGTGGCAGCAAACTACGTGAAGTATCGACACATGAGATAGCAACGAGTCATACGTGTGTAGCAACAAACCTTCATTGGGTCTATCTCTTTGAAAACCTCCAGATTCCTACCGCGGCTGTGTCTTACCTGAAACGTTCACCACTTATGAAATTAGCTTTGGAAAGACTTTGAAATATTTTAACATAATACCGTAAAATGTCATGTTTAACTGTTTTATGCAATTATTGAAATCAATACACATTTCTCGTAATCAAAATTTAAAATATTTTAATTAAGCACTTGATCGAGAAAAGTTTCGTAAACTATTAATAAGTATAATTTCGAATTTCTTTAATATAGCTTTGTTTTTTTAATGGATATTGCATTATTAAATTAATAAGTACATTATTACAATATAATTACTCTCACTTTTCGTTCTTAATGCATGTTGTCTTAAATGTATTGTTTATTTATTTTGAGCCACATTCCTAATTTTTAATACAATGACTTAAATTCAGGTATATAAATAGTTTTGTTAGCTCGATAACATAGTAAATGTTTGTTATAGTTCTGTGGTGGTCGGAATGTGCAAAACGTTCAAGTTGAAAGCAAAAAAAAAATTTGCGACATCATGATCAACATCATCAGCCTATAAAGGCATCATCGGACATGGGCTTTTCTCGTAGGGCCGATTTGCAGTTGGATTGACGTATGCATTATTAGCGTCGCACCTCTGACGTCAATGTCGCCGATCGGGGATGTTACGTCTAGTGTAAAGATATGTATAAATATGGAAACGTAAGAATATCGCTATCTATCGGAAGCCATAACATTCTTTTGGCATATTACTTTGTTGGCAATTCAGATCACTGAACGACATTGAGGTAAGGGAAGCGGTAAAATCCGCGACTGGCTTAGAATAGAGGGGAGTGAGCTAACGAACTTTGTAGCGACACTACACGCGGGCACCTAAATAACATTTTTAAATTTGCACATATTGTACCTTTTAGTTCACAATTAGAGTTATTTATTTAGTTTTACAATATTGAGAACGAAACATATTGAAACTCGCAAGTAGCGTAAACTCCGCAATACCGCTACGTGTAGAACAGTTGAGAATAATTACAGTAGTTCTTACTTCACCACTCACTACTCCCTTGTGTAGAAACGGACTCCCCTCAGTCGCTACTTCAGATCCGGCTCAAAATACCAACAGCCCGGTTTTATCGATTCCCTTACCTCAATGTTGTTCTGTGGTCTGAACACGCGTCTTACATATCCACGAGCCGAAATAATAATATAAATAATAAAGAACACATTTAATTCTCCCACATACTATAGTTACATTAACTTACATGATTATAGTATATTTAGTTGTTGTGGGAACTTAGTTGCCCTGGGTGTCGTCTAGTTGTAGGCGTGTACGTACCTCCTCGAATATATGCGGCGTGTACTTGGGCGGGTGCGGCGCGTGCGGCGGTGGGGGGAGTGGTGGGGGCGGGTCGCGCACGGGCGGCGGCAGCACGTTGACGAGGCGGCCCGTGTTGTAGTTGCACTCGAGCGTGTACGTACCTCCTCGAATATATGCGGCGTGTACTTGGGCGGGTGCGGCGCGTGCGGCGGTGGGGGGAGTGGTGGGGGCGGGTCGCGCACGGGCGGCGGCAGCACGTTGACGAGGCGGCCCGTGTTGTAGTTGCACTCGAGCGTGTACGTACCTCCTCGAATATATGCGGCGTGTACTTGGGCGGGTGCGGCGCGTGCGGCGGTGGGGGGAGTGGTGGGGGCGGGTCGCGCACGGGCGGCGGCAGCACGTTGACGAGGCGGCCCGTGTTGTAGTTGCACTCGAGCGTGTACGAGCGCACCAGCCCCGTGGCCTTCAGCACGGCCACGCGCCCCGAGCCCTCGCGGGACATGCCGTCGCGCCGGTCTCTACACACCGCACAATACAATACAATCATTAAAACATGCTTTTATTAGCTTCGCGTGTAACCTATCTATCTATCTATGTAACGGAATCTTTTAACGTAATATTCACCAAATTGTAAACGGCCGTTTGACTTGATAATTTGCACGCGTATGAAGGACCGATGACACCACAATAATTTAATAACTTTATCCTAGTATCCTGATCAGGATCATCACGATCATTTTTAACAGTTTTCTACACTCGTCATACGCAACACAGCAGCATAAAGCTGCTATTCGATGAGAGCAAGGTTCTTCCCCAGTCGAGCCGACTAAATATTGGGACGCTGCTGACCATAGCCCTCCCCTCCTCCTATGAGCCAATTTACAAGAGAGGCCTCTGTTCAGCAGTAGACTATTATAAGGTATTGTAATAATAACGATGATGATGATAGATTACAAAATAATTAATATTAGAATGTCACAGTTTAGCCGATATAAAAAAAGAAGGAGATTCTCAATTCAACTGTATGTTCTCTCTGTATATCAACAGCCAATTATTGTAAACTGACTAATATTTTTCTTTATTACATAAGCTACAAGCCTAGCCTCAAAAGTGGTCCCATTGATTCTAAACTAATAAAACTGGCCAAGTGCGTGTCAGGCCACGCACAATATAGAGGTAGGGTTCCGTAGTTGCCCGTCACAATACGTGGGCTTTCTTGATAAAGAGCATAGTAAGTGACTTCGCGGTTGGACCGCTATAACGACAAAAATAGGACAAAATTAAAATAATAAGAAGATCTTAAATAGGAAGATCGTAACTGAAGGACTTATTTTCAAATCTGACATAGAGGGCGTGGTATTCAAAAAAAAATTTAAAAAAAACTTTTCGATTTTGATAATAACACCCTATCTATCCCGCAAATGAAAAAGTAAAGCTAATAGTAGTAATGCATATAAGTTGGTTCATAAAATGTTTATTTTTAACAGTTTACAGTTTACAATAAAATTATGATGTTATAATGCAGCTACTTTTAGGTCATTTTCTATAGAATTGTAAAGAAATTTTTACTAAAACAAGTGCATTTTATAAGTTGGTCGACTATTACTTGTTAACTTCTTAATTCTATAGTTTTTTACCTTTTAACTTCATTATATATACTACTGTGTAAACTTTTCAAATTTCCAAAAACGGCGGTTTAGTTGGTAGAGGGGGGGTAGGGAGACACACACATGACTCTAATGAAAAATACCACTTTAAAACTAAATATTTCCCAAAGGGACCCCTGATCGATGTTGTTCCCCACCGCAAGTGTTTTTGAAAGACCTGTCCAACGTTACCCCACATGATGGAATAGACGGGTAAAAAAAAAATCATCCTCCATTTACTTGTATGGGAAGTACCCAAAATAAAAATGAGATTATTAAGATTTTATTTCACAGTTATTTTAGGCGTGATTAATATGTATAACTATGCCAAATATATATGGGTCTCTGAACAAAACCGCGGTAGGACGGACGGAGATGACGAAACTATCTAACTATCGAACTATCTTGTTGTGTAACTACGGAACCCTAAAAAAATCTAACTCTAAAGCTGAAAATTAGAGGATAAAATTATTAATATAACTATTAGCTTAGATGGTAGTCAAAGTCCTCTGGAAATTGCTACAGTCTAAACTTACTACATTATGTAAGACTAGCGATCCGCCCCGGCTTCACGTGTGATTTCTAGATCTCTACAACAAGCGCTGCCTACCAGATTCAATTGCAAATCATCCAGGGACCCACTCAAACATACACAAATTAATCAAAATCGGTCCCGCCATTTTCGGGCTTTTGCGAGACTAATAGATAGCAATTGATTTATATATATCGCCATAAACTTAATATCGAATATTAAAAAGATTATCCACAATAGGTTACTGACTTGAGGTACATATTTCTCTCGGTAAAGTTGCAGGAGGAAAAATGAAAGTGGAGATTGTTCAAGGACATAATTCTCGGCAACAGCATACACTCCACCGAGCTCTCCACATCCTCAAAATGGTTGCCGTACATGAAGATGCCTGAAACAAATAATACTTTTTATTACATTTGTCGTTCTTAACCAGACCGAAAATAAATTTTGAAGATATAATTGAAAGTCGGCTAACTTTGGAAAAGGCGACGCACTGGCAGTGTGTATATTTATTCAAACCATTTCAAGTCACTTTCGCATCCCACATAATTTAAAATCTATAAGAACTACACACTTGTAATGTTGAATCATATAATATGTAAATGAACATTTAACTGTTGTGTCTGTTTCGCGGACAGAGAAATTTAATGATGACCCCTTGAATATCTATAATTCCAAATTATTGAATAAACCTAGTAAAGCTCTTGAGTTATTAAGGTCTCAAAATTTCTATTTTTATCATTATCACTTTGACTTACTTATCAAAAACTTTGGCCAATTTTAAGTTACTTAGAAAATAGAAATCTGGCATCAAGGTACATCATTACAAATGGAAATATCTCAAATCTACAAATTGTCGAAACTCGGTGGTGCCGAGACATTTAATTCTTATCGTTAAAATTAAAAGTGGAAAACAGTAAAGCATAAACGTAAGAGAAAACCGTTGAAGGTCATGTATTTATTTAGATTAATAATAGGATTTTTTTTTCAAAATATGATACAACCATAAACATTAATTTAAAATGTGCCCCCTTTTCAAATTTATGTTTTTGGTTCGATAGAAGGAAGTTCGGTACAAAAAACTTATAAAACTCATTTATTCCTACAAACACGAGAGATCTGAACGGGCGCCAAGCTTTATAGCAGTTGTTTAAATCATAGGATCTATAGGAAGGTGAAACTGCTTGAAACAACCTTATTCGTTGTTTGTAATGTACTAGGCCCACTTTTTCACAGTTATGTTTTTGATGGGATATCAGAATTAATTAAAGACATTAATATATACAATGCAAAGCAATATAAGAACAGACATTCAATAATAATTTTGAATGGTTAACTATTATAATGCAAAATGTAAATCAATATATAAATCGTGTAATATTTCATCATGCATGGTTTAGCATAATTGTAATGAAAAGTTAGTTACTAAATTATTGTTTATAAAAGTCGTATTACCGAAGCTAAAGCGCAAATTTGTCTAATTATAATATCTTCAAATAGACCTATGCAAATTTAATTAATGAATAGCTGTATAATTATTACTGTGACTACTAATATTTATTCTTTGGCTAAGGCATTCGATCTTTGTCCTCACAGGTGACAACACATCTGTAGCTTTCTTTATTTAGCGCTGGCTGCAGATGTACACCGACTGCAGTAGCCACTTACCATCAGATGGACTGTGTAGTTCGTTTGTCACTTCAGTTGAATAAAAGAATAGTGTAGTAGTGGCGTAGGAGAATTAATCACCCCATTTTGTCACGTGGGTGTCGCAAGAAGCAACTATGAACAAGTGCTCTAATTCCAGCCGCTCAATTTCACCATCGCACATCGCGACAAAACTCGCCATCCATCTGGATGATTGGCGGTCCACCACTGTGCGATTTAGAAGATGTTTTCGTCCTCGCACAACTTCCTTGTGAAATTGATTACCACTAGCGATTTTTTCGAACCGATACGACTTAGGTACCTTCAAGAAAAGAGCCTACTCCTTTTTAATATGCCGGCAACGCATCTGCAATTTCCCTGTTGTTGCAGTTGTTTATGGGCGGCGGTAGTCACTTACTATCAGGTGAGCCGCATGCTCGTTTGCCCTCTCCTATAAAAAAAATTTATACGACCGACTTCAATATAAATTATTAAGGATAACTCAAAAACTACTGGTCATACCTTAATCAAATTTATATGAGATCACACGAGATACACCAGCTTTCAAATAGAATCATAGAAATCGGTTCACCGAGAAATAAGTTATGAGGTAACACATAAAAAACATACATTCGAATTGAGCACCTCCTCCTTTTTGAAGTCGGTCGAAAATGCCAGAAAGATGTTATGGTTTCTGATATATAGATTTATAACCATCCCGATTACGTCAGACCGACGTAAAATGCCCAGATCGGTGACGGGCAGTAGCACTAAAGGCGGCAACAACGCGAGACGTTTGATACTGCGGTCGTCAAGCGTGACACGGGAACAACGGGAGAAACCCATGTCCAATAGTGGATATTACTGGCTGAAGTATAGTGTTGGTTTTTTAAATTAAAAGAAAAGAAGAAATAAACTTTAAAATAAACTCAAAGTAGGAGTATAGCACAGACGGTAAAAGGAATGCTTCACAGCCTGTAACAATGCTGGCTCTCTTGCCCTTCGAACTAGAATAAACAGTGGATGCAATAAATTATTACATATCTATTGCAGATTGCAATAGAGTACAAGTAATATTGTCCTCTAGAAATAATTTTGGTCACGGTGGCGGCTTGTTTCAACGGAGGTTTATAGTGCCAGAATTTATTCGCAAGCACAGGTGCACTCCTATTCCCTCACTCCCATAGTCCTATATGGGATGGCAATCCGACACGACCGAAGAGAGATCAGGCGCAGGGCTAACGGCTTTACGTGCTTTCCGGGGGTGAAACACCGCCGACTTCCTAACTCATGCCTGTTAATAAATTTTTTGACAGAACAACTCCAATAACTAATTTCTGATCAAATCGCTGATTCCAACCCGGGACGTCATGATCAGCAGCTGCGTTTACACCTAGTATACATTATCAATGTCGATACCCACCTTTTTTGGAAGCGTGTCCGTGCAAATCTATGTACAAAAATAATCCGGACTCGGGCTCTTTAGGTGTGCGTGTGGTTGCGTTGGCTAAAGAAATTGGTTTCTTCTTAAGTTGCTTTGGCGGTGATGACGTTTTTTCTTCGTTTGGCGGCGGTCGCTATTAAAACATAAAAATATACTTGTAAAAATACGGTCTAAATAGTTCAGTCTACGGTTACAGTGCCACTAAAATTGTTAATTGCCATTTATGTAAACATAGCGACATGATAATAACCGACAACCGATGGGGAAGAGAGAGCGAGAGAGAGAGAGAGAGAGAGAGTGGGAGAGATTCTAGGGTATTCTGCAATGGCCTTGTGATGGATGAAGATGATTGCACATTACGCTCAGTATATAAATATGTAAGTGAAAATGGGACGGCCATATATAGACCCTTTTTACTTGAAAAGAGGCATTCTATCTTAGTCCTCACGGCTGACAACGCATCTGCATTTTAATTCGCAAACGAAATAGATGTAGATGTCTATGGGCCGCAGCAACCACTTACCATCAGGTGGACTGTGTGCTCGTTTGTCATCCATATTCTATAAAAAAATGTAGCTTCGAATAACCGACAACCGATGGGGAAGAAAGGTTCTCGATTGGTAACCTCGTACCAGTAGATGAAGTGTAAGGCCAAACCCTACTAGATGGAGTGACGACCTGGTAAGAGATATGCAAGAAGTCGATGGGTGCTGGTGGCCCAGGACCGTGCTTTGTAACATTATTTTGGTGAGGTCTATGCCCAGTAGTGAACTTGTGAAGGGTTATTATGATAAATAATGATAGCAATGTAAGAGAGAACCCATGCTTCATTGCGTCCTATGAGAATCGTAAGAGGCGAGGCCAATAAACCGGCCTTTGTGGCATAAAACTTTATCGTATATGAAAGATATAAATTATCAGAAATATAAAGTTAAAAAAAAATAACAGCCTAGCCTAGCCTATGATAGTTTCGGAGGAGGAAAGATTCCGTCATTCTAGCACTATGTGTTGTCTGTTCTCGATATACATTTTTTATCTCGCAGATATCAATTCGTCTCGTTTTTCTTCAACGCAAGCATGAGGTAAATAAATTAAATAGACAAAAATCGCCTTAACAATTTCAATGTTACTGGCGCGGATCGAAATTAGGTAACTGTAAAATTTAAAGAGAAAATTAAACCCGCGGCGGCGTTAGAGAATCCATCACCCACATTTCGTCTCGTGTAAGTTGTAACTATAGGAAATGTCAGAAAGATCTTATGGCTTCCGATAGATGGCGGTGTTACCGTCTCGTGTATACCAATTCAAGGGTGAGGCATCATAACTAACACAAATTCTTCCCACATTTGAAGAGGCTTATGTCCTGTAGTGGATTTTTACGAGCTGAAGAATAACTAGAAGAGAAAAAGACCTTGGCAACCACAGATCTTCTTGTCGTATTGCACTTTGCATATCATTTAGTTTTACTAATTATTAACAAAAAAGAGACACTTCTTGCTATCCAGCTATATATTTCTACAAAACGATCTTATGCGCTATGCTTGTAAAAACGTTCTTTCCGATTGGCTTGACTCACTGGCACTGCGTAGAGATGTTGCATCTCTTTGCGTATTTTATCGCATGTACCACGGGGATTGCTCTGAGGAATTGTTCGGACTAATTCCAGCCGCTCAATTTCACCATCGCACATCGCAACAAAACTCGCGATACCGTCCATACCATCTGGATGATTGGCGGTTGACCACTGCGCGATTTAGAAGATGTTTTCTTCCTCGCACAACCTCCTTGTGGAATCGATTACCAGCAGCGATTTTTCCGGACCGATACGACTTAGGGACCTTCAAGAAAAGAGCCTACTCCTTTTTAAAAGGCTGGCAACGCATCTGCAATTCCCCTGGTGTTGCGGTTGTTCATGGGCGGCGGTAGTTACTTACCATCAGGTAAGCCGGATGCTCGTTTGCCCCGTCTCGTATAAAAAAAACTACGCTCCGCTACACGCCAATTTTATGACACCGTCATGACACGGCGCCATTTTAAGATTATTGAAATACAACAAAATACAGTTATGACATGAAATAAATAACAATTTAAATAAAAAAATATTTATAGGTTTGGGGTTTTGCATAAATGTACTACACAACGCGCTTAATGCGTAATGAACGAGAAAATGAACTTGAATTATTGGAAACGGGAGTTTTAATTAACGCAAGCTAAATATAATCGTACACACACCGTTACTGAATTTTCTGGCGCGGGTCCATCACCATTACCCGACGATACTCCAACACTTGCCGTTGAAGGGACGTCAACCTCGTCCTGAAAACACACAACGGAAAGTTACATTCTTCCCAGAGTCTATTTAGTCCTCTTGTTCAGTACAAAGGATTTTAAAAACAAACCAAGAAGACTATAGATTCAAAGTCAGTCCTGAGGACTATAACTTACAGTTACTCAGTCTATCCTTCAAACCCAAGTGTAATAACGAGGCTAAAGCTTAAGCAGCAGGAATAGTGGGACTAAAATATAGTTATGACACTTACGATATCCTCATTTGGTTCTGTCATGATGTATCTCTTGAAGCAGTTCGTACAGAAGTACACGGCTTCAACATCTGGAGGCTGCTCCGTGTCCTGAAGCTGTAACATTTAGATTAAATTATAATATTTTTTAATAAGATATTGTTAATAGTAAGCATCTAGTTTTGAAAATTAATAAAACAAAGACATTAACATGTTTATAAATTGGCTAACATCATTATTACAGTCCATCACATGTCCACTGCTGAACACTGGCCTCCCACAAAGCACCTGGTCCCTGAACCACCTGTCATCCATATGCCATTTCTGGCAACATTTCAGTTATTTCATTCAAGTTTTAAGGTATACATGACAGGAAATATGTCTATCTTCCGTACGTACGTGCCCATCCGAGTTGGATCCAAGGATTGACCTCTAGGTTAAAGATTGCAGTCGCAGAATGCGCAGTTTGGGGTTTTTGTTGTGAAAGAAACGAGCGTAAAATTTATTCTTTAATAATTTATAAACTTTTTCGATCCCGCTTGGCAGCAATAAAATTGTTGATTGCGATTTTACGTGCTGATCACAGAAAAAAAAACTGAGTTTAATGTGATTTTGTGGTACTTGCCCATAGACCCCTATTGATATGCCATTTTTTTGTTGAAGTTTTACACTGACAAAGTTGCGGGTAAAAGCAAGTAGTTAACAAATATCAATTGGAGAATATCGATAAAAAAATAACAAGTATCTATTTTTAACCGACTTCAAAAAAGGAGGAGGTTTTCAATACGACTGTAGTTTTATAAATTAAATATTATCATCAAAGCCGGTTCACATAGAAAAAAGTTCTTTAAGTAACACACATGTTACTTACGGAACTTTTTCTATGTGAACCGATTTCGATGATATTTTTTTATTTGCTGGTGCTTTCTATGTGGTCTCATATAAATTTGATCAAGATCTGACCAATAGTTTTTGAGTTATCCTTATTAATGAGCATGTACTTGACTTCGACTATATTGACGATGTTCTCATATTATTTATATTGAAGTCGGTTGTGCAAAACTTTTAATTTTACCACTTGTATTGAAAAAAGTTTTCGGTTAAGAAAAGTACCTTGTGCTCTTGTAAATTAAATTGTTGCATCTGATGCTCTCTATACTCGTTGATGGAATTGAACGCGGGACTTTCTGAAGGTACCTATGTAGGAAAAATAAAGAAAGGAAATGAAGGTAATAAGAAAGTGGGAGAAAAGAAAGTAGAATAATAGTAGGATTATAATATAATAATGGGTGTAAGAGGCGACACAGGGAAACTCAAATAGGAGATAGGCAGCGGAATCTTCTTAATAACCTTTTAAAATTAAAAAAAAAGTACGGTTGCCAACCAACCTGCCAAGCGTGGCAACTATGGAAAAGTAACCCCAACGAGGCAATCTGTGGAAAATCTATGTTCAGCAGTAGACTTTTACAGACTGAAATGGATGGATGGATGGAATGGATTTATAATTAGAACTGTGAATATGGATTTATAATTAAAATGGCCCATAGACATAGCTGTATTTATCCTCAATTAAGAATCAAAATGAAGATGTCACCCCTGAGGACTAAGATGGAATGCCTGTTTATAGTAAAAAGGTTTTCCGGTTCTCTACACTCACCATACGGAACACAGCAGCTTTAAGCTGCTATTTCTGCGAGATCGTAGTTCTATCCCGTTCGAGTCGACCCATTTCTGTTACAACCTTGATATAGCTGTAGTGTGGCTCTATTTTGTCAGTCACACCGTACCTCGGCGTGACTGGCAAAATCGGTAAGGTTTTCGTATCATATCGATTTCACTGGTGATACAATAATGCATGGTAGTGGCACAACATTCAGTCAGTCATCGCGTTTGATGTTGCCGATATAAACAATAAAATTGCTAGGGTTATCACAACAGGAATTAATAATAAAAAAAACAGATTTTTTAAATCCACGTTTAAACAAATTAAATAACTTAGACAATAGGTGTTCAGATATAATAAAATAGATTATAATAAGCAGAGTTAAAAAAAATACTTATAAAAATAGTCAACTATCGAATACAATATAAGCAGTTTATAATGTGTAATATGTGTTTAAGTAGAAATAGAGGCCGGTTATTGTAAAAGCGATCATGTGGTCGACATGATGACAAAAACATTTATTATTCGCGTAGGTGATGATGATTCCGACTCAAATGAGGATGTAAGCTCAAGTGTCGACAGCGACGACGATAAAATGGCCACCTCTAGCACCAACACCGTGTCCTCATCTAGTTTCCACGTCACTGACTTCTCGATGACTTATTGGAAGGAGTTTTTTTAACATTACTTTAATTTCTTGTAATTAGATTTAACATTCTACACTGAATCAAACACGTTTTAATTCTATTTAATGATATTCTATCTATATAATGTACCTACCAATTACAATAAAACAATAGACCTATTACTTTCGTGCGCGATTGTACATATGCACAAATACACCCCCTCCACTTTCTTATAGCGTTCTTTTTACATGACGCGTACTATAGTGCGAACCATTTTAATTTATTCGCAACGTGACAAGACAGCCCTACCGGACAGTTGTTAGTCGTTCGGAAGCGCAGGGCCCGCAGGGCGCAGGCTACGCCCCGCACGCACGATTGCCCCGTCTAGACGTCTTCGATGACTGACTGGTAGTAGTTAGTAGTATTTGGTATAAGTAGCGGCACGAAAATCTAGCGTTGACCGTTATTGCGCATAAGTCGCGCTGATTGGCTCGTGTGTATCGTTCGCATGCGCTGATTGGCTCTCTAGTCGCATTCGTGCAATTCAATTCGTGCGCGTCCCCTCCACGTTTCGTTCAGCGCTAGACTTACGTGCCGCGACTTGTAGCGGGTAGCTTACCGTGGCGGTGTATCCGGGCAGCATGGAGCTGATGCCGGGCATGGAGCACTCGAGACGGCCCAGCGCGCGCCTGCACTCCCCGCACCACCCTATCCTCACCCTGCACTCCCGGGACTCAGCCCCCATCGAGCTCTCACTGCCGATTATAAGTAAACACTTCTATGTATACTGCTAGACTGAACAAAAAATGTGTCACTGATGTGGTACGCGTGGACACGGGCGCATGTGGGTAGCCAACACGGTAAATATGCTGTGCAGTTGAATTTTTTTATTTACGATAGTTGCTGCTTTTAGACAAACACGTAATAAAGTTACATACTTAATTAAAACAAACTTCAAATCTCGTTGACACGAATAAATTATAATGACAGCGTTTTCTTAGTTACATAAAACAAAATCAGTGTTAGATTGTTGAAAACAACTTCCGCTGTTTACAAAACAAAGAACTAGTCTTCTCACAGTCGATTAAAGAAGTTACGGAGAATTCAACGCCATTTTGTGCGCAATATATTAGTACCGTAGTGTCCGTTTAGTAGTACACATAGAAGTCTTTGATTAGAAGTAATAAAAGTAAAGTATCCGTTTAAGAAGACGTCATCCCGATTCCGAACACTGCGATAGTTTCCAAATAATCAAAAGTTGAAAACTGTAAATGAACAAGTTATTTTTTTGTTTTTATTTAATTAAATTGACAAATAAACTTATAAGTCCACCTGAGGTAAGTGCTTACTGCAGTCAAAGGACACCTGCCCCTAATTTCACACAAAGAGGGCTACAGATGCGTTGCCACTACTGACAACCAAGATAGAAAGCCGCTTAGCCTGCAATTACACTGTCTCTCTATACTCTATACTCTTTAGGCCACAACACACTTGGCAGCGTAAACATGTAAGAGGATGGTATCTACCCTAGAAGATGGTAGAACCCTACCGCTGGTAGAAGGATTCCTAAGCAGACGAGGAGTCCTACCACTTGGTAAGTGGTAGTTAACCTAGGCCCGTATTAATAAACGTTACTAAACGACGAACTCAAGTGTCTAATCATTTGATACGCCTTCATTACGATATCAGCATCTCAAGATCGTTGCTAATTAATAAACACATAAAAACAGTATCTCAAAACGCTGTACTTAGGAATACTGTTCTGTGACTTGCACTCAAGTACACACACTTGAGAGTCGAGTCTCGTTTATTAATCAGTGTGGCACTCAGCTGATATCGTAAACCTAAACCACATTTTGAGATATGTTTATTAATAAGATCATAACCTGAAGATTGTACTTGAGCTGAGTAACGTTTATTAATACGGGCCAGTCACAGAATACATAAAAGTATTGCCTATATGTGGCCATTAATTCCCACCCGCCGATCCGACCTAAATCATCCCGCCCAGATTTCAATAGACACTTCATTTGTTTTAAGCATAGGGACGTACGTGCGTGTTGTGTTTTATTGGACGTAGTTGCAGCAGTACATAGTATTACGTACACAAACATGTGCATATGGGCGTGGACTATAAACGCCTGGACTAGCCAATAAACAACCCACAAGATACCAGCTTTGTGATTTATTTTCTACTGTTGATTTTTGTCTATGCACGAGTATTACGTTATTTTAGCAGTACAGTTATGAATTGTTTTTATTTTACACTAGCTGTTCCCCGCGACTTCGTTCGCGTGGAATTTATTATGATTGGATTTTACGAGTTTAATATTTTTTGCACACAACCTAATTCTTTTTTTAAAATAAAAGTAGCATAATAGTCCAGTCAAATAAGGTCTGAAATCAAAATTTTGACACTCTACTTTACATTTTTGATATAATGTAGTTTTAATGATACAAAATAAATGTGTAAAGATTTTCGTGTCCGCAACCCCCGGGCAAGGGTTAAAAAAAATGTCAAAATTGTTTTTTCGCAATTACTCGAAAACGGTAAAACTTAGACAAAACAGTTCTAATAAAAATGTCAATGTCAAATTTAACCGACTTAGGGAGGTTTTAAGTTTAATGGATGAACGTAAATTTTAAAAAAATCGTAAGGAGTAGAAAAATATTTATTTTAAATTAAAATTTAGAAATTAAAATATTTTTCAAATCCTACGCCGTTACGTATTATTAAGTCCCGAGTTAAAAAGAGAGGACTATTGCTTATTCGTATACTACATACGCTTACTCGTATACTACTTACTATACGAAGTCCAAGAAAGAGGGAGAAAGCATCATCGGAGAATCATTATTCTCGCACTCTCTTTATTTTACAATCTGTTCATTAAAATAGATCATTTTTATAAATATCAAAATGCCTCGTTACCAGTAAAAAAGGTCTCCAATCCTCGTCGCTTATTACGCGAGAAAAAGTAGCATTCTGATGCTATTTTAGTGATACCTTCCTCAGTGGGCCGACCCATTCGTGCTGCAGCCATATTACAGCGTAGCTCTATCACATTATCTTTATTGTATACCTTTATCTTTTAAACTTGCTAAGTTCTCCGTATTATGCCGTTACACATAAACCGAGGGATCATGACTTATGTCTTTTTTTATATAGAATAGGGTGATAAACGAGCACACAGTCCACCTGACGGTAAGTGGTTGCTGCGGCCTATATACATCTACATCTATCCCAGTTTGCGAATCAAAATGCAGATGCGTTGTTACCCGTGAGGACTAAGATCGAATGTCTCTTTTCTAGTAAAAAGGGTCTCCGGTTCTCTACACTCACCATACGAAACACAGCAGTGTTAAGCTGCTATTTTAGGCTGGTATTCTGTGAGAGCGTGGTCCTTCCCTGGTCGAGCCGACTCATTCGTGCTACAACTATACTACTAATATAGCTGCTGCATATTTCTAGGTAAAATAAAGGAATAGTAATATAGAATAATTGGTTACAGTGGCAGCATTTGCTAGTGTTAAATATATAAACAGTAAATCGAAGTGAAATTTTACGATAATCTTCCAACCGATTTCGATTATGGCCAGATATTACAACGGCTAAAGTGTTCGCCCAAATATAGAGGTCCTTACTCTTTCCTATCCACATCCAATATTTCTTGAAGCTTAAAGTAGAAGAATTGATGCGATTTTTAAGATATTCTCTAAATCAAAACCTACCCAACAACTGACGAGTTTGACTCCATCAACAAGCTTATGCTGTTCTTCAGGGTTTCCCTAAGGGGCCTCAGGGGGTTGTTGCCTTGGAGGTTCAACTCTCCACTCGTGCTGACGTGGACGGTCGAGCCAAGGCAGGATCGTAGCACGTTGTCGTTAAGGAGTGAAGGACTCTCTTCTACATAGGAGTTATCATTCTTAGATGTCGCATCACTTTGGTGTGAAGGTATTTCGTGCAGTTTCATGTCGTAGACCTGGAGGAATTGTTATTATTTTTATAATCTGTGATTGAGTTTATATTATTGTTTATTACCAAATCATACAATTATTTTGAACGTATCTGAACTCTTTACAATGCCAAGAAATTTGGAATAAAACTGAAGCTCTATAAAACGAAAACGTAAACTTTAACATATGCGAGTTTTTCTATTGCTCATTTTTAAATTGAACCAGTAAATTAAATTACAATACTAATGTTAAACACTCGCTACCCACGGTGCAATAAAATGGAAAAAGAGGACGCCGCTTGTTGCGCTCTCTGTCGCACTTATGGGTCTTACGGCAGACATAGTGACGCGGTTATCGATAAGTGACGCACCGCACGCGACTGTTCCTAGCGCATTGATGATTTATGGCGCCGCGGGTAACGAGTGTTTAACATTAGCATAGCAAGTGTCTTGTTTCCAAATCCAAAATATAATGAAGTTAGGTTTTTATCCTCACTTAATCAAAGGTGAATGTTTTTTTTATCATACTTCATTATATACCGTGTAGTTGCGGTGTAAGTCTCGTGGGTGTTGTAAGTGGGCGCCACAGGGCAACAAACCAGCAGATAGGCAGCAGCTTTCAATGAGGGCTAATAATTTCCTGCTCACCAGATGTCGCTAGTTGAGACTGAGGTAAAGTTTTTTGTTACACAATGTAATTTAATTGAGAAGTTGTTTTTTAATAAAAGTTGATCAGTTTCTAGAGTATTATATTAATACACAAAAGAATGCGTCAGTGGTTTGGTCTTTAACTTTTTGCACATTTTTTTTTATAGGATAAGGGTGAAAAACGAGCACACAGTCCACCTGATGGTAAGTGGTTGCTGCGGCCCATAGACATCTACAGCTATCCTCTATTACAAATCAAAATGCAGATGCGTTTTCACCCGTGAGCACTAGGATGGAATGCCTCATTTCCAGTAAAAAGGGGCATCCGGCCACCTGCACTCACCAAGCGAAACGCAGGTATTCTGTGAGGTCGTGGTACCACCCCGGTTCGAGCCGACCCATCCGTGCGACAGCAAAAGCTGCCGCCTGGCTCTACCACTGTTAAAACTTTTACATTTATAACTTTTTTTAATTTTTCTACTTTTATGAATATCTGTGGTTTGGTTTATTTATTTATAATATTATTAATATAAAATATAGCTAATGGTACAAAAAGAAACAATAACTTTTTCCTTTTTCCGGACAAATTAACTTCCCCACTATGAAATCTGTCAAATATTATACCTCACTTTCTAGTGGCGCCGCTCTGGTGGCAGAAAAAGTAATGGATAAGGGGGTTGCTTGCAATAGTAGCTAAGCGTGGCTACTATTGCAAGCAACCCACTTATATGGCAATGTATGGGGAGGTCTATATCCAGCAGTAGACTTTGATAGGTTGTAATGATGATGAAGGGTTTTAAGTGCAGCTAAATAAATTTAATCGCGAGTATAAAAATTACATTACTATGTCCTGTTTGTATTTTTACAATAATTCTAAATTAAACGAAAATTTCAATGATGCTTGATTGGTGGAAGGTGGAATGTCTTCAGGTTTATCGCTCTTAATAGCGTAAAAACGTCTACTATTCATCTACTACATTCTATTAACTTCTACAACATCCTAAATTAAAATCTAGAAGTAGTTAAAAATTCCATTCGTGTGAAACCTTCATAAATTCAGCTACCTTACAAATGTGATATACAGACTACAAGTGTATTTTTTTTATGAATTAAGACCATAAGTTAAAAAAAATTTTAAACATGATATCGATCATGCAGAAGCATTAAAAAGTGCTTTAGATAGGAAAGCTCAATAAATTCAGATGATTCCAACGTATTCCCATATATTTATGATAAGCTGTTATTATTTCGTAGGAAATTTAATTAAATCGACGACCAAAATTATATCAATTTATTAATTATAAGATTAGACAATGAATGACTGATTGTATTTTAAAACACAAAGCAACCTGTAGAAATAAGTTCTAAAGAAATTATTTTCCTTATTTTTCATCAGTCTGTAAATGTCCATGAACATGAATTTCATGAACACGAGTCTCCAGATGTAGAGAAAGATTAGCCAATTTGCCCAAGTTTTGGTTACTTTAAGTCTGGTGTAAACCTGACGATCATATCGCGACATACTGGAAGTCATAAGATCTTTGTGGCATTTCTTACAGTTGTCCCTTACGACACTAACAAGAAGAATTGAGACGATGGACTTCCTTGAGCCGCTCCCACATGTTAACTAAATGAATCAGCCCTTAAAATTTAAAACAATGTTTTACTTATCGTAATTAATTAACAAAGACATTTAAGTTAGTATATTTATATATTTAAATCTCTTTGTTAATTAATATACAAATAACTAATGTGTCGGTGTTTTTGCATAGTGAGTTTTACTGACTGTCGGTGTAACTTAATTTAAACTAAAGACATTCCAGTTATTCATAATCTAAATAATTTCAGACACAGTATAGCTTTTCATGCAAAGCCCATTTTCACCGTGATTTATTCAAAGAGTCATTATGTTTGCTTCTTAAATATTAGTAAGAAATATTTCGTATCATTTTTTAAATAAAGTTTTTAGTTACCACGTTAAATTACCACTGGCTATATTAACATGGTAACATTAATAAAATAGTACATTCGTTTTACGATAGGAAAAATTGGCCCAAAAAGTAGTAATATTTTTTGATTACTATATTAACCATAGAATGAATACCATGAATCATATATGAACATTTTAGTTGTATATCTATATCGCGAACAGAGAAACTTAAGTCTCATGACATGATTGTAACATAGTATTAAAATAATTATAGGTACCTGTTCGGCGAGATTGGCCGCCTCCCCGCTTAATAGTTTAGCTTCTTTCTTCGACTGACCCATAGACTGTTGCTTTAAATTGGTGGAAGATTTGTTTCCCGACTTCATTGACTTCTCCTTCTTGAAGTATTCGTTTTTGTAAGAGCTGGTCCCCTTCTTCTTTTTTACGTTCTCTATCAACTGTGTTGAATGATATAATGACATTAGTCCCTACCAAATACTTCATTAATATTCAACATTGTAAATTCCTTGGCTAAACTTTAAATGTAATGTAAATATGTTGTAAAACATACGCAATTCCATATGTATTTATATAACTGTGGAAGTGCACATTGCTCCTACGTTGTCCAGTGTCAAACTCTCCTCATGAGGAGCTAACAGTAGGCGTTCGTCACTGTTGCCGCTGTGGATGGGGGTATATTTGTGACTATCAATATGTGGTGAAGATGTGTTCCACCGCTTTAGACGAAATCCGTCCTTGTCTTTGCAAAGTTGTTTCTGACAGTTCCTTATGAAAAGAGCCTTAAGCAGTGGGATGAAATTAGAACCCAAGTACCTATGACCCTGTGAGATACGCTGAGAAGCCACGCTATTAGTCCACTGCTGAACATAGACCTCCCCCATAGATTGCGTCATAGGGAGGATAGTTGCCATGCTTGCCACGCTTGGCAAGCGGGTTGGCAACCGCAAATTTTTTGTTATTAGTCGTTATTAGAAAGACATTGCTGCCCATCTTCTGATTTTTTTCTCTTTGTCGCGATTATTATATTATCAAAAGTCCTCTGCTGAACATACGCCTCCCCCATAGATTGCCTCATATCCCCCTTAGATGCCATTGGTGCTTCGCTTGTAGACGGATTTTTCAGTTGTTATTAGGATGTTGTTTTATAGGAGTTTTTTTCATACGTGGTAGAGCCATGCTGCAGCTATATTAGTAGTATAGATGTAGCACGAATGGGTCGGCTCGACCAGGGAAGGATCACGGTCTCACAGAATACCAGCGTAAAATAGCAGCTAAATACTGCTGTGTTTCGTATGGTGAATGTAGAGAACCGGAGACTCTTTTTACTGGAAACGAGGCATTCCATCTTAATCCTCACGGGTGATAACGCATCTGCATTTTGTTTCTCATTTAGGGATAGATGTGGATGTCTATGGGTCACAGCAACCACTTACCCTCAGGTGGGCTGTGTGCTCGTTTGTCACCCTATTCTATAAAAAAAGATGACAGTACAGCATCTCCTGGTCTGTTTCCCTCTGTCACTTCTTACGGCACCCACAGGAAGATATGAGGTAGTCGTTAATTATTACACCGCCACTGCATAGTCAAATGATACATTATATCCAACAAACATATACATTGCTAACCTCGGCGCTTTCGCTAATGTTCTGCATACTCCTCGACATTATACTTTTGCTATCCTCATAGAAATCTTCTTTCTCGCAGCCGAAATGGTAATACCTGCAAAATCGAAATATATTTCTCTATAAATAAACAACAAAAACATCAACTTAAATAACATTCGACTACAGAAACACTTTGATCATATATGACTCATTGTGGAAAGTCCACGACAATAAATATTATGGCTGCACCAATAATGGGTCGCCTAGACCGGGAAGAACCACGTTCTCACAGAATACCAGCGTAAAATAGCAGCTTAATGCTGCTTTGTTTCGTATGGTGAGTAACGAGAACCGAATACCCATTATTATTATTATTATTAAAAAAATGTTTATTATTACTTACAGTTTTTTTTTATAGAGCTAAGGTGACAAATAAGCACACAGTCCACCTGATGGTAAGTGGATGCTGTGGGCCCAAGACATTTACGAATATCCTCGATTAAGAATCAAAATGCACATGCGTTGTTACGCCTAAAGACTGAGACTGCCTCATTTCCAGTAAAAAGGGCCTCCAGTTCTCTACATTCACCATTGAGCAAACACAGCAGCATCGAGCTGCTATTTTACGCTCGTATTCTGTGAGAGCATGGTTCTTCTTCCCCGGTCGAGCCGACCCATATTTGCTACAACTATAATATAGCTGCAGCATGGCCCTACCACGTGAAACCAGTGAGACATTTCATCTTAGACCTCATGGTTGACGATGCAATTGTATATAAGAATAATAATGATAATTATAATTGACTTGTCACTACTATAAAGACATTGTAATATTTATATTTCAATTTCTTTCCCTTCTATGGGAGGGCCCATGTCACTTTTCAAAGAATTATAAGGATGAGAAATATTTAAAAAATTATACCTTATAAGTGCCCTGGAGGCGTACACGGTGGGGTGGAGTGTCAGCGAGGGATTGATATAGACTCTGTTCAGATTAACACCCCTAGTGTCTGTCCTGTAGTGACCCCGTGCAACTCCATCGGGGTTGAGGAATGGGATCAACTTAAAAACGTAGTTCTTGCGCAACTGAATAGCAATGGGGTCATCCCTGGTTAGTAATAGGTTCAAAAATCCATTAAAGACAAAGCTTGATGGAGTTTCACCTGGATGTACCCTTGCTGATATGAAGATTACCTGCAATGCATAAGTTTTAATTGTAACATTATGTCCCATAACAATTGTATTCATAAAGTTGTTTTTTTTTTTAAATAGGTAGGGCAAAGAGTTATAAGACAGGTGTCTTACTAATAGATACAGATACAAAATATAAATAATTTAAAATTAAAAATTTTGTACAACCAACTTCAATTTAAATTATTAAGAATAACTCAAAAACTATTGGTCAGACCTTGATCAAATTTATATGGGACCACATGTGAAGCACCAGCTTTCAAATAAAAAAGAATAATCTAAACGTAGAGTAGAACAAAGTTATGAGGTAACACACATTAAAAAAACATACAGTCGAATTAAGTACCTCCTCCTTTTGAAAGTCGGTAGAAAAAGAATAGCCAACCTTAAAAAATATTTGGGTGTGAAACGGTCCAAATAGGACTGCTACTCAGGATGTGCTAGTATGTAACATCCTAGCCGTGATTTTCAGTTCCATTAGCTATACTCTACTGTAACCTTCATCATCATCATTATCATCATCATTACAGCTTTTCACAAGTCCACTGATAAACATAAGGCTGCGTGATAGATTTCAAAATGAGGATATCCGCAGACCAGAGTGACCGACATAGCCTAACGGATTAGTAAGCTGAAGTGACAATGGCCCGGATCATGTAGCTCGAAGAACCGACAACCGATTGGGAAGAAAGTTTCTCCAGTGGCAGTCTGGTACTGGTAGACGAAGTGTAGGGCATTCCCCCAGTAGATGGAGTGACAACCTGGTAAGATATACAAGAAATCGATGGATGCTGGTGGCTCAGGACCGTGCTTTGTGGCATTCCTTGGAGGGGCCTATGTTCAGCAGTGGAGTTACCTTACGATAAATAAAATGATACAGGTAGAGGAGGGCTAGACGTTACTTTGAAAATACTAGAAAGATATAATGGCTTTTGACCTGCCCACTTGTGTCGGACTTGTCCCAGTCTCTTAATAGGGAGCAGCATCAAAAATGTGAGACCTAGTACTGCAATATTCAATCAAAACGTAGGATGTACATGTTGAAAAGTGGACTTTTATACTGTTGAACAACTAGAAGAGGCTAGCTTATTTATTTTATTTATTTGGTTCACCAACGAATGTTACACTAATACATATGCTTAATTCTAAGACAGTAATATAAACTAAGTGCACATTCAATAATAGGTAAACACCGCATGCTTAGTGTTCACAGCATTTCCTATAAGCCGTTACCAAATAGCTAAAAAATATACGATACAAACTTAAAATAAAAAATAAAACAAAATTATTAAATTAATACAAAAAAAAATTACTACAAAGAAACATTAATATTTTGATAAATTTTGTGCCGAAAAACGTTAAAAGAATCGTGGTGTATATCTACTACATTATTATAGGCATTTAAAAGTCTGTGAAGTCTGGGTATTGGGGAATTAAATCCTAGTACAGTTCTACAAAGAGGCGGTGAAAGAGGAGTAATGAATTTACGAGGATATCTACTTGGGATACGAAAATTAAATTTACGTAGTAATAAAGGGCAATCTAAGTTATTTCTGAATATTTTATATAAAAGTTACAAATCCAATGTCCCGGCGTTTGGACAATGAAACCATTTTAAATGTCTTTAATCTAGATAGATTAAAGACATGTAAAGATGTATCATATGTAGACACATACGAAGGTTATGGGTAGAATAATGGGGACGCCAGACTGTGCTACAATATTCTAATATACTTCTAACAATTAAGAAGTATAAAAGTTTTTTTGTGGTAACATTACTGAATTCTTTACTATTTCTTATAAGAAAACCTAATGATTGAGATGATCTTTTAATTACACTTTCTAGTTGTGGTACAATTGTAAGGTTTTTATCGAATACTACACCTAGGCCCTTAACAGTTTCCACTTCTTGGATAACTACACCATTGAGGGAATAAACTGATGGGAAAATATTATTTTTGCGAGTGAATTTAATATGTACACATTTTTTTAGATTAAGATTCATTCCATTGATATCGCACCATTTAGAAAGTCTAGTTAAATCCTCCTGAAGAAGTATCATATCTGACGATTTATTAACGATTTTACAAAATTTTAAGCCATCAGCATACATAAAGCAATTGGAATGTAAGAAACAATTAGGAATATCGTTAATAAACATATTAAATAAAACTGGCCCCAAATGTGATCCCTGGGGAACTCCTGGGGAGCTTAAGGTGAAAGTGCCAGAGTAACCCAATACCGTTACGGTCGCGAATCATATTTTATTAAACATACAACCTGACCCTGACCTGCGAATTCCAAAAAACGCAGGAAAATTTGAATTTCGCGGGCCACACTGGTGCTTTCATCTTAAGGAGGAATCTTACCTTCTTATTCTGAAACTTGAATGGCCTATCTTGATTGTCTGGGAACAGATTCTTCAACCTGTCCTCCCTCTCTGTAGTAATCCCATGATGCGAGCTTATTGTCAACAGATCTACTCGCCTTCCTGTAGTAAAATATTTTTAGATTATTGTAACCAAATGTTATAACTAAAGTTAAGAAATAAAATCCATACAACTAAAAATTTACTTTCAATTTTTATCATGTTAATTGTAAGGGCTAATTGTTCAATCATTAGAATATAGTATATTATGATAAAGTACAAAATTAACAAATTACAGCAAAATTGGTAAAGAGTTCAAGTCAACATGTCAAACTTTGTAATGATTTCAATAATTTTTCACCTTCAAGAGAATATACGAGACATTCCCTGCAGTAATAAATATCATCCGGTGATTGAGGTGGCGGTAGTGGTAGCAATTTCAGATCAATTGTGTTGAGTGCAATCTGTAATTCAGCAAAGGAGTAGGGATATGTGAAGGCAAAAAATGTCGTCGCCTTGGTATTTTCAGATGTCCGAAATTTAAAACTCAGGGTGAATGTGTTGTCATCCGTCTGAAAAAGTTAAAGATAAAAAAAACCTAATTAAAATGAAAAATATGTTAAAGAATATTAAAGCAACATTATTTACACAGATGGACTGACTGATGTGCTGATATACAATTAACAATTCCTTGAAAAAAGTTTAAGTGCATTATCATGACATACTACTCGCTATAATGGCAACACAAAAAGTTTATGTTTTTGAAGTCTTCCTGATGAAACGTGATTCGGCGTAGACCAAGACAAATGAAGCCACTACCATAAAGAAGCTTCAGCGCTACCAGAGATCGGAATGTATGGCTGCCACAGGCTGCATAAGGACTGTGCCAACAGCAGCGTTAGAGGCGATGCTAGAGCTAACCCCGCTTCATCAACACATACATAAAGAAGCAAATTTAGCTGCCATTAGACTCAAGACCTTAAATCTTTGGAGTAAGAATAGAGTCCCTCATACAGGTATAATTGATAAGATTCACTCAAAAATTATTATCTTACAAGCCAAATATGATAAGATCCCTAAACAATTTGTATTTGATAAGAAGTACAAGATACAATTAAATGAAACCAGCCAGCCGGAATGATTAAGCCCAAAAGAGCTTAGTTTTCACCGATGGTTCTAAAACAAATGAAGGTGTAGGATCTGGAACTTTCTCTGAAGACCTCAATATCCACATATGCACACAGCTGGGTACTTATTTCAGATGGAATATATGGCTATCATTCTAGCGGCCATGGCAATAGATGCTAGGAAGGTTAATGACTGAAGAAAAAATACTGACCGACAGTAGGGTGGTACTAAAAGCTAACAGTTGCAATGTGGTGAACTCGGGACTAATATATGAATGCCATCAATGATTAAATGAGGTATGTAAACACAAGAATTTCACTCTGCAATGGATAAAAAGATACAGTGGATCCATAGAAAATGATGCAGCAGTTGAACTGACCAAAAGAGGATCGGCTCTGGCAACTATAGGGTTGGAACCAATCATACCAATACCCTTTGGTAACATTCGTTCACTGGTACATAGACACTTCACTAATCAACATGGTCAGCTTGGGAAAAATCTAGTAGACTGTAGACAAGCTATAGAGGCGCTGCCGAGACTGAACGAGCTGCAGATAGTAACAAATGCTATCACAGGACATGGCAGCTTTAACAAACATTTATTTACCATAGGTGTTCCTTGTGTAGGGCATATATAGGAGAGGAAGAAACAGCGGCCCATGTGTTGCTCACATGTCCGGAGGTCGCTACATACAGGGCTAAACATCTCAGCACGCTGGAATTACTCCCCGAAGTTGCACACAACATCAAAGGACTGTTGAACTTCTTCGGGGAGATCTCATGGCTTGAATAATTACATTATTCCTGCCCACATGCAAAATACGCACTTTTTTTACTACGTTTTCCACAACTCCACGTCTACGTGGAGTTGTGGAAAACAGCCTGTTGTAAACTAAACTAAACTAGGGAGCAAAACTGAATACATGTAAAGATGATGATAATGATTGAATATATTTAATGTAAAGATGGTGATAATAGTTTAATATATTTAATAGTTAAAAGTTATTAGTTATTTTTATATTCAAACAAAAAATACTAAGTTGATATTGGTGTGTATGATGTGTTAGTTTTAACAAGTTGAATGATTTATTTTTTCAACATCAACTAATAAGATAATACTATTTGAAAAAACATATCATTTGTGATCTCTCGAAACTCAAGCTACCAATTATACTTACGGAATGAATTGGTCGATCCTTAATTCTTTCCCACTGTGGTTTTCCAGGTAAAGTTCTTGTTACTGGTGCCATTCCTTGATTATACATTTTGCCTTGTTTGTTTAGATTTATTAAGTTTAACCGCACCTGTTACATTAAAGAATTTTTGACAACAATGAAACATAAATGTGTACATGCTTCTTTAATATTTCTCTATCTCTAAAATAAATTCAGTTAAGAAATGACAGTTGTTTTATTAAATCAACTAAAGCAACATAATTTTACATCAGTTTTAGAATAGAAATATGACCCAACAACAAAATAGAAATATACAGTTAAGTACTCAATATTATATCAATATACAACTTTATGCCAATTAGTAATTATTTACCAGTACTCCAGGTTCACTAGCTTGAACTCCAAAATAAAACCAAGTGCGATTGCCATTTTCAAATTCGGTCCCAGCACAATCTGGCCTAGTCCATAGATTGAATTCATAATCAGGTGTTTCTGGAGCATTGGTTTTGTAGTTTACACCAGGAGCTGGAATAATATAAGAAGAAATCAAAATGAGATCGTCATTCGGCCCGCCAAGTGTGACGATTACGGTAAACTGCCCAAAACAGGAGAGACCCGTGTCCAACAGTGGATTATCACAGACAGATAAAGAATAAAAAAGACAGTAGTCCCATAATATCACCCTAGTATTTTGTTTCGAAGTTTGTAAATAAATGAACATATTAAGAAAACTAATCCACTTAAAACCAAAATGAATACACATATTAACTGTTTATTTAGTAATAAACTAACAGACTACAAAGAAATGTATGATTGTTTCGGTTTGTAAATTATCACTGACAGACTCACCAATAAGCTCCATTGGGACTTGTTCTACATGACCTAAATTCCCTGAGTCAAAATTATGTATAAAATAAAATCCGCCACTCTCTATTATACTTTTATTATCCATATCTGTTAATATTGACTACATTATTCAAAAAGGTCACGATTGAGTCGATAAAATCATGAGACTTTTACCAACATTCACTTGAGTAATTTAAATTATGAAACATTTAATTTAACTTTAACGATTGGCAATTTCTAAATGACAAAAATAAAAACCTCACTGTTTTTCTAAACAAAATTACGTAATTTTGTTGACATCGATTGACGGATAACAGCTGATTTACTTTATTGGCAAATAAAAATCTTTTTTTATAAGAATTCTAATAAATTGATAATACTTTATTGAATATTTTTAAATAAACTTAAATTCTTTTTATACGTTATTTAGTAGATTATATTTTTTGGTTTAATACTTGCAATCACTATTTAATAACTTTATTCTTTTTCCATTGTGAATTTGATTTCAAAATGGCTGCCATAAAAAGTACTCTGTGGCTGCCATCATAGATAAGAGTGTATAGCTGCCATGATACATACATGCCCATTCCTAGCCTAATATTAGGGATGGACCTTGTTTGTCCAAGGGATGCGATAAATCGATGTGGAGTGTCGATGCTTGAACTCAACCGATTTATTTTAACGCCTTGCAATGTTCGATGTTTTGAAGTGTTTTTTATTAGATATATTGAGTGGGTTAACGTAAACCCACTGTATATATATTTTGTTTGTTAATTTGAGTTGGTAACACTAGTTAATAGATTGATTTAAGTGTAATACACACAGTACACTATTACTCATAGCGGAGGTAGGTATCTTAATCTGTAGAGTGTTGTTTTATTTTATTTTGAGGGTATCATTAAACTTTTCACTTTATTGTAAAGTTATATTTGATTTGATTTTGTAAGTATATACTTAGTATCTTTCTATTCATGTGAAGAGATTAATGGTATAGTTTAGTGAACATCCAATCGTTAGGATAATCGAAAGCCCTATTGAACCAACAAACAGATATACATAGATATAATAAATAATCATACACACATTTCCAGACACCATATGGGTTTCTTTGCCTCAAACCTGCTAAATATTTCATGTCAAGGCAATGAACTTCAAGGGATATTTTAAATATTCGGTTGTTAAAATCTGGAATAATGGCGACAACAGGGACTGGCTAAAAACCGTGCTGAACCCCACATTAATGTAATAAATTATACTTTATTGATTTTATTATGTCTTTATTTACGTGTTGCTTTTTAATTGTTACTTTAATAATGTATGTGGCAAAAATATTAGTTGTTCTATAATATAAAAATGAATCGCTGAATGTGTTGCTAAGCGCAAATCTCGAGAGAAGTTGAACCGGTTTCGCTAATTCTTCTTTCTGGGGGCACGGTAGTGCCCCAGCCAAGTTGAGCAAAAAAGCGGCATGGCCGTACCATCCTTTTCTCGAAACAGTTCAGGACATTTTCGAAACCCTATAACTTCGTTGTGGATAAAACTAGAAGCCTGAATTTTCAGTAACCAAGTAGGCATTGTAATTTAATATAATATGTATTACTTGAGAGATACATTGCGTTTTCATGCGAAGGCCAAGTCAATCTATTTATTTAAAATATAAAAGATTTTTAGTATTGATGTGGTCACTATAAGATGTTGTTAGATTAGCTAATTACGTAATAACTTAAGACAGAAGGACCCTTAAGTAGGGACTGAATAAATTAACCGACTTGGTATTACATGGATCTCACAACTTTTTACGGTAGAAGAACTGAGTTGCGAGACTTGGTTTTTTTTTACAAGTTATGTTTTTGATGGCATTATAATATTCCTTGAAGTACGAAGATGGTTCTAACGGAGAAAAAAATTTAAAAATTGCCTGAAAATATATAAAAACAACACATTTCTATATTTCCATACAAAAGATTCGTAATAATACTTAAAATTCAATTTAAACTTTAATACCATACCATAAAGTTTAAGGCAAAACAATAATAATTTTTATTTTTTGACATAAAGTAATTGTTGACTTATCAACTTTCTTTTTTCTTTTTTATCTTACTAGCTGACCCGGTGTCCCGAATAGCAGAATAAATATATAAAAAAAAGAATCGACTGTTAGGCGGTACAAAGTTCGCCGGGTCAGCTAGTTACTATTATTTATTAAATAATGAAGTTACTTAATCGATTGAAAGGCAAAAGGTTTGGACATAACACATCTTTGATTTTTTCTCCCAGACCATATTCAAACTCAAAAAAACCGGCAAAGTGCGAGTCGGACTCGCGCACCGAGGGTTCCGAACAAATCTGTAGATATATAAGTTTAGAATTATTAATTTTTTTTTTATTATATGATGTTACTAAAAATTTATGGTTTTGGCAATTTTTCCTTTATCTGTGCCATAAAACGTTGCTTCGTACCAAATTTCAAGATTCTGAGTTCACGGGAAGTATCCTGTAGGTTTGATTCCCTTGCGAATATCGAAAATTTACGGCATAAACGGCTGTATCTTTTGATTGCGTTTGTTGCTTAGAACTGGAGTATTTGATATGAATTTCAGCTTGATACCTCCACGCGTTTCTGAGAAAAAGGGTCTTGACAGACAGACAGACAGACGGAAACAAAGTGATCCTATAAGGTTTCCGTTTTTTCCTTTTAAGGTACGGAACCCTAAAAACAATCGAGGTATTAAAATATCGATGTATTTTCAACATATCGTTCTAATATCGATGACATCATGCGATCTAATGCTGATACCTAACATTATAAAAGGTCGCGGAAAAGTTTCTTCATATTTTATACTAGCTTTTGCCCGCGACTTCGTACGTGTAGATATTCTACCTTAAGCCATAGGTAATCGCACTTTCATACTAAATTCCATCACCCTCTGGGATGATTTTCGTGATCAAAGCTATCCTATTTCCTTCCCCGGGACTTAAACTATCTCGATGCCAAATTTCATCTAAGTCGGTTCAGCGGTTTAAGCGTGAGAGGTATATTTGCTGATGCGGCGATGAGCGATGTTTTCCTCCACCTAGCCCGCAGTACGCCCGACCACCCTGCGCACGCTGGACCGCACAATTTTACATCGTCGTTACATTCCTAGTCAGGTCATAAATTCTGTCACATGTTTAATATAAAATAACTGAAACAAGTTTATTCATTTATATACCAAAATGAACTTAACAAAACATAGATTCTTATGACACTAAAGTTTATTCAAAATGACCTCCGTGATTATGAATACAGGCCTTCAATCTGCGCGGCCAGTCGTCTATCGCAGCACGAACGAGGTCCATGTCAATATCGGCGGCTGCCTTAATCAAGGATGACTTGAGTGACTCCGAATTGGGATGAGGCTTTGAGCACGCCTTTTCCTCCAAGTGTTGCCATATCTTGTAATCTAACGGATTCAAATCTGGACTGGAGGAGGGCCAGTCTTCGTGCCGGATGAAGTCGATTTCACGCGCCGCCAGCCAGTCTTGTGTGCTCTTCGCTCTATGAGCTGGCGCCGAATCTTGTTGGAATACCCAGTGCCTGTTATTGAACATGGTATGAGAAACAGGTTCCACAAGGTTCGTCAGGACTGTATTTTGATACACAACTGCATTCGTTTTTACACCTTTCTCACAAAAATGTACCTCTGTTAAGCCCCAATAAGAAACTCCCAACCATACCATGAGCGAGGATGGAAAATGACCTCGTTGGACACGCGGAATACGGTTGCTCGCTTCTTCACTACTGTGTGCGTACACTTTATCATTTTGTTTGTTGTAGCTCTCTTCTACGGTAAAAATTTTTTCATCCGAAAAAAGAATTTCCCGATATTTTTTTCCGCGTACCGCTTCAACAAAGCGCGACATCTTTTCAGTCTCAGGTCCATTAGACGAGCATACAAACGATGTCCTGTTTTTCTTCTATATGCCCGAAGCCCTAAGTCTTCATTTAACACCCTTTTCACCGTGGTTCTGCTTAACCCCATCTGAAGGGCCAACAGTTTCTACTTACGTTTGGGATTTCTTTGAATTCGCGCCTTCACAGCTTTTATCACTGCAGGAGTCCTGACAGAACGAGGGCGACCACTTCTTGACCTGTCATCTACACTAGAGTCTTCATTGTATCGTTTGATGGTACGATAAACGAATCTTTTGGTTATATTCAAATTTTTCAGTATGTCAACAATTTGAATTGGCGCGTAACCGCAACAATGCAACGCAATAACTGCAACACGGTCTTCTATAAGCGTCCACTCCATATTTAAAAATGAGTAAAATTCTAAAAAGTATACAGTTTTATTGTCATGATAAATTCGAAATTCGAATTCAATAAACTTTTTTGTGGCCTGCACAGCAGCTTCTAAAAGAAAAGTTTTTACTGTGTGACAATACTTATGACCTGACTAGGTATTATATTAATGCTGTCTCTCATGGTTACTTTGGTAATTTTAATTTAAATTTTTGATGGCCTCTCTATTCTGTATTTTGTTTAAAGATAAAATCACTAATATAATTATTAGTGTCGTCATTACCATTCCAAGAGTCGCCGTCTCGATAATTTTTTTGACTAATAAAATTGGAACATTGCGTAAAGGTTACAAAGGGCGGATTTAATGCCAGTTAGCATTCTCTGCCAGTCAACCCATGGCGTGGTGAGAATAATATATAACACTGTAAGAGTTACACGAATATAATGTATACTATATACATTATATTCGTGTAACTCTTACAGTTATTGCACCGAACGCCAAAATACCACGCAGATGACAGATTTTTTCCGACTTACTTAACAGTGATCGTTATATTTTGACCAATTTACATAATATCTCTATGAATTATAGCCTATGTATTATGCTGATGTACATGAGCTATATAATTGTGAAGTTTCATTAAAATCCATCTGGTAGTTTTTTCGTAGAGGAGTAACAAACATCCATAGATCTTCAGAAACTTTCACGTTTATAATATTATAGTAGGATACAAATTCAAGAGGTTTTTTTTCAAAGTTGAATTACATTTAATTATAATATATGTACATGTGGCATTAGTTGACTTGTTGCCATCTTGTAGGAGTGACATAATTCCGTTGCTGTAGTATTTTGGGATTTTTGATCAAAAAATATGACAGTCCTCTCTTGATAATAACCTAACACTACTAACTGACCTTTTTTCTTTTTTTTTACATGGGGAAATGCCTACGCATACCCGCCTTGCGGGGGCAAGGACGGGTTATGTTGGACTCGCACCGACTAAAACCCCATGGCGTTCCACTTTCGTCGCATATTGGCAGGGTCATGGGAACGCTTTCGCACACATCCGCAGCCCCACCAACGCTGGCCGCCCCATGGTAGCCCCTTCTCGGGGGAGGACTTCTCCTTCTCAGACAAGGCGCATCAGTAACACAAGACACGCCTTCTTCCACGGCCTCCAACTCCACCTGCGTAACGGGACCCACCGAGTCAGATATGCGGAGGCCATGGGGCTAGGAAAATCGGGCGCTTAGTAGCACCCACTTTCCTGACCCCAGCGGTGGATCTGGTCTCTGGTTCCGCCGCCAACTTAGTTTCGGCCGCGGAGGGTAGGCAGAGCGGTGCCTCGCAATACCGACACTCCTCTCCCCCGCAGCCCCACCCCCACCGCATCAACGGTGCGGCCCCGTCAGAGTCGCGGAGGACAGGGTGGGTGGCACATCGCAATACCAACACTCCTCTTCCTCCGCGACTCCACCTTGGCTGCAGCGGTAGGGGGAGAGGACACCCCTCTCACCGAAGTGGGCTCGCCAAGCCCACTCGGAGTGGCTACCTCGGGCCAGCCAAGGGGTTCCTCTTTGTTTACCGCGGGTGACCAAGACACGGCTATTAAGCCCCCCCCCCCGCCACGACAAGGCGGGAACACGTTCGGGGGGGGGGGTAGCAACTGACCTAACCTAACTTAACTGGTATACTGCTGTAATACGCAAAAAGGCGTAACTACATTTTTTAAAGTACCATCTTTGTGTTCCTAAAGGCCTAATCGACTCAATAGGCATGTTTAAATTAGTAATTTGTGATTAACAGAGGGTTATCATTCTAGATGTGCTGGGTACGCGAAGAAAATTTAGTACGGATGTTGTGGTTAATAATTTGCATGAAATAAATACTTGCAAAGGGGGTGATGGAGCTAAACCTAATTTGTCTGCTAAATTACTAACTCTGCTGAATCTCCCCAGCGGTCTTTAGCTTAAAACTATAACAACTTCTATTGGTAATGATGATAATGAGACTGGTGTTGAAAAAAGCATAGAGCCACCTCCATACTCACAGTTAACCCCTCGCCCAGTCATTGCTAAAAATAATGAAACTTCTTGAGCTTTATAGGCAAATATCAATTCTATTGGTAATTATGATATTCAGACTGCTGTTGAAAATAGTATAGAACCACCTCCATACTCACCGCTGACCCCTCGCCTAGTCATTGTTAAAAATAACAAAACTTCTGGAGCTTTGTGGGCAGATATCAATTCCAATAATGCTTTACTAACCTCTAAATCGCTCACTGAGACTTCTGCTGAAATTCTATGTAAAATCTATCAATCGAATTTAACCGATTCCTCTTATGTCTCCGGAGACGGCAACGTTGTTTCAGATTTTAGCTGATTCGATGGATACTTCCAACACTGAAGGTGCATCTGAAACGTCAATAATTGCTAACTTGAGTAGTGGCAAAATAATGACTTAATTTCTTTGATGACTGGCACTGCACGTGCAAAAATCAACCGAATACCTAAACAAATAAATATGATGAATAAACAGATCCAGTTAATTTAGGATCTCATAGTACTCAAGAGGAAATTGCTCAAGTCGATGATGAAAATATTGTTTATGTTTTAGAGACTGCTATAATATCTGACAATGTTAACACGAATAATGATCGCTCATGCATAGGAACTGTTTCTGTTCACGAAACCGAGTCATCGCTAGATGAAAGACAGCTCATATAAAGACCCAAAAACGGTGGAAAGCTAAAATATCCACCATATTTTTATCAATTCGAGAAAAAAGAAAGTCAGTCCTAAGAAATATATATATTTTCAATGCGGTTTTCTAAAAACGTGCCACAAAAGTGTCCCAGTAGAAGAGAGATTGACTCACTTTAAAAAGTTTTATTCTCTAGGATCGTATAAAATGAATCTATTGAAAGTGAAGAGTTCGTGATAAACTTTATTAAAAGGTTGCCGACATATATATTCCACTATCGTCGATAGAAAACAGATGGGGCTAAGTTTTTGAGCACAGAAATGACCTAATCAAAAATATATGAGCTATACAGCGATGAAGCGAAAACAGCTGGCGTGAAACAACAACGGAAAAGATGAAATATTCAAAATGTATATGAAAACTAATTGGGATGAAGATTTCAAGGTTAATAAGGGTGACAAACGAGCACACGGTCCACCTGATGGTAAGTGGATACGGTGCCGTGCACCGTGCACGTGCAGCGATGATGAATCTCACTGCGATGTGTGGGTAGAAGGCGGAATTGGCAGAGGTAGGGTCTTGTCTCATTAAACATATCACAGAAAGACTTGATGGCAACTTGAAACATCTGATTTTATGAAGTGATTCGTGTGGTCGCTAGTCGGGGTATAGCTACCTCCCAAACGCTTCAGATTTTGGAAAGATAGAATGTGCCTTAAAACGTCAACAGAGGCTCTATACACCGGATGATTACATCCAGGTTATGAAAACTTGTAAAAAAACTATAGCGATGCCATCGTTGAAGTTAGAAAGGAATAAAGGAATAGGTAATAATTAATAGAATATGAAATAGAATATGGAGAGATAGTTTCGTGGCTTAATACTAAAGAAATCATGACTAAAAAAGACGAAATATCCAAAATGTATATGAAAACTAATTTGGATGAAGATTTCAAGGTCAATAAGGGTGACAAACGAGCACACGGTCCACCTGATGGTAAGTGGATACGGTGGCCCATAGACATCTATCCTCGATTAAGAATCAAAATGCAGATGTGTTGTCACTCCTGAGGACTAAAATGGAATGCCTCGTTTTCAGTAAAAAGGGTCTACGATTCTCTACACTTCAGTCAGTACCGTGACAAAGCGGCCCGGGCGAGGGTCGTGTTCACAGCTCTCTCGTCCTTGTTGAAATTTGCGGGCCCATTTTGTCACCATCGCATATGAAGACGCAGAATCCTAAAGAAACGATGACATCTCTTCAAAAATGTCTTTCGGTTTATTTCCCTTCTTTACGAGGAATTTTATCACGGCGCGGTGTTCAAAATTCGGTGAATTTCCAGATTCGGCTGACATGGTGATGTTTATTGTTCAATAAATAATTTTTTTTGCGCCCAGAAGCAATTGCAAAGGGCTACCCCGTTACGCGAGGAAGTGGAGAATGCTTTTTGCATACCACGAGCCACGACAGCCGGTCTGTCGTGGTTGTGTGGGACTCACTCTGCCTAACTATCCTAACCCCTAAATGTTACCTACTAAACTCCACTTTAGTGTACGGCGTTGGCTTATTAGGCCTCTCTGCCGAATCGGAAGTGACCCTCTTTTGGGAGAAGAGGGTGCAGGCGGCTACGAGCCCCTGAGGGAGAGCCTACTAAGGCAATTTCAAGAAGAGTCGGCCTGAGCCGCCAGGAGGCAGTTCAGGTCGGTTGAAAGTTTATTGGCAGGTCCGAGAGAGTTTCTCGGCCTGCGGACTAGATAGCGAAAGGGGAGTGGGGCTGCATAAGTAGCTGCCTCACGAATAAAATGATTGGAATGCGACTCTGAGGCTTTGAAGAAGTTCTCAGAAAGTGTTTTTAGAAATAGTTGGATTGTAGGGAGTTCTGTGTCTCGATGGAGGTCGACGTTACGGACGTACCATGGTGCGTTCGTAGCTCGACGACAGAAGAGGTTTTGAACTACTTGGAGTTCGATGCCATCCGCGCCCGGAGCCTTTTTGAGCTTAAGTCCTTTGATGAGGGATGAAATCTCATCATAGGACACAGTGATAGGGTCAGAGGCTGTGGGGGGTGAATTTCGGCGGCGGACCTCATCTTCCACTGCTTTGATGTGTGAGGGGTCGATGGGTTGAGAGCTAGGAGTTCATTGTGCGGCAATGCTGTCTGCAAAACACTCAGCCTTTTCCTCGTCCTCGAAGGCAACAGTACCGTCGGGACGGGAGAGAGGGGGAGTGTGGGTGATAGCGTCTATGCGGAGGGCTCTTGCCATCTGATAGTACGCTGTATGAGAGGGAGAGATATTCTTCATGAGCTTACTCTTTTCGAAGAAGACGATTGGCCGTACGCCTATATTCGGGGGTGGGATAGATTGCTGCTCTCCGGAAAGCAGCTCTCTTGGCTTTTAATAGGTTGCTAATATGTAGGGGAAGCCCATCATTATTAGCAACCGGGACGACCCTTTCATTCTCCTAAGGGAGGATTTAATAAGGGTGGAGAGTGAGTGCAAACTTAAATAGTGATTTCTTTTATAATACTACTGAGTGTTGCAACTAGTGACACGAGTAACAAGCTAATTATTCATCGTTAAGTACCCTAGGCCGCGAATATTTCCGCCGCCCTGGTATTAGAAAATTGTTCTTATAGTGAGATAGATATCATTTTTAAGTATCCAACAGTATTAAAACCAGCAGAGCTGAATGCACTGATGCTTGGTATGTTGTAGTGAACTGGTTTGAAGAGTATGAGAGTCAGTATAATTACATGCTGTAAGGGCTGACATCAGGTGGACTTATCGTATTGTTCGTTATTACTTTTATGTTTAAGCTTGATGCATGATTTTTATTTCTTACTTTCCCTTCATTTCCTAGATTCTATTTTATTTTCCCCACAAAACGCAAGGAAATAATATCAGAAAAAAAAAACCAAAAATTTTAATGCAAACTTGTATTTTCTCAATACCTTTATATCTATAACAATATTAAATAAGCTTAATTATGTATAATATAGTATAATTCACTTAGGCGTGGCACTTAACTATAGATTATAAAAAAATTACATTCCTTATAATTTTCAATAACTTGGCCAATAAATGCCGTCATCACAAATACATAGTTAAATATTACCGATCAATATTCCTACAAACGATCATACTACAACTTTCTTCTACATACATTCTTTCTTTCTACTAAATTGTCTTTTGTGAGCACAATTCTTGATAATATAGAAATTAGGCGATTACTGGCTGCCGTACATTATAACAACTAACAACTCAGCACCAATTCGACTCAAAGACATTATGTAATGTGACCTTTATATCGTTTCAAGTAAAATCCGAAATTAAAAAAAGTTATTGTATGATGCATGTATTTTTTTAATTTAGAAACATGATTTTTAATCAACTCAATATAAAGCTCCCATTTCAATACCTTTCCAGTCTTCAAGTCTGTCTTGAGTCGTTAAAACATACGACGGTCTTAAGCATACACTAAGTAATGATGGACGTGATGAGTTGTGTACTTTTGGCAACAGTTTTGGCTCCTTCACCAAATTTTAATAACACACACTATATAAACAGAGGCAGCCTCTCACATGCGGCAGCAATGATTACAATATGCCGACAAAGAAAACCGTGTAGTTGGTTCTATCACGAATTTTCATGAAGACTATTTATCTGTATATATGTAAATTATATAAAATAAATGTGAATTAAGTGTTAATAAAGTAAGATATAAATGATTATTTTATTATATATTATAGTATAAAATTCATAGATACAATTTATAATGTATAAAGAAAGTTTTATCACAATTCGGGATTTAATTCTAGCGTACATCGAATCTTAACTTATACGATTATGACAGTTAATCTAGCAACACTGAAATTAATGCAATAGATGACGTTCTATATACGATATACAATTTAAATTAGGAACAGTAAATAAACTAAGCCAAACTACAAATTGTAGACTAGAAAGCCGAATTTATATAGAAAGTTACTAATGAACAGGTTACCAGACGAATAATTTGATTTTATTTATTCGGCTAGCTAGGTTTAGCAGGCTACAACTAGGCATAGTCGATTGCGGATGGTTAAACTGAGGCGTTTTCGATTTATTTATTCATGACTAAAACTAAATATAGGCGGTTGCTTTCTACTAATAATAAGTCTAGAGAAGTCAGAATAATAATTAAAACAACAAACTATGAATTGCACCCCAGCCGCACCTTATCCTAGGCACAGGTCTGCTCTTGTTTCTGAGAGGGTTTATAGTGCAAGGAAGTGTCTGCCGCGCTGCCCCAATGTGTGTTGACGAACTTAACAACATGTCATCGAAATATTTTTTTTTTATATTTCTCAGACATACGAGTTTTCTTCACGTTGTTTTCTTTTACCGCCGAGTATGTGATAAATCAGCATTTAAGGTGTGATTTACGGCGATCGCTTTGCCATTGACATTTTTTCTTAAAACTAATTACAACCTAACAACTCAATTTAACCAATCGCAATTGGCTGCACCTAATAATTGTAAGACTAATGCTATATATCTAGTTTATATCTAATTAAATAAAAAACAAAATACAAATAGCCGGATGAATAAAATAAAATAATTTGCTCGGTTAGGTGCAAAATTAAATGCAACTATTTATGTAGGTATCTAAGCAATTTTTGTTATACTTGTAATGCTGGCACTATACGATCGTCCATCCGTCCAACTCCAAATGCTTACACGAAACTGAGTGAACTCGTTTGAATTATAAGCCTATCTCATTCAACCTCTACCTCTGTAAAGTCGATGCAAAGTAAAATAAAGCCTGAATGAAAACAACGATGGTTATGCTGATTATAAATTGAAATAAGTCATCGCCAATCGATGCGTGCGAACGCGACCGAACCATCAATGCCCATGAAATATAGTATCTAGTGTTGGAATATCGTAAATAATGTTGGGGGAATCGTTGGACGATACGTGTCGTGTAGAGTCGGCGTTAGATTTACGCTAGGATTTCATGGAGCGATATCTTCCCGCGCCTGCAACGTTAGTGGGACCGCGATACGCGTTGAATATAAAAAATGTAGGTAAATTTCGCGATGTGATTTATTCTCGTGGTGCGTACGGTTTTTTTTGCGGCTGCCGATGCACTAGTAGAATCGGGTAGGCCGCGATTGAAATTGCACTCTGCGGTCGTAACTTGCGAGGAACACGGACGCATAGCGGTGTGATCTTTATTGATAATATATCTATCGCAAAAGAACCCACCTTGCGCCCGCCCGACTTGCGATCATCCGCTATATTGCGATATACCGCCTCCGCGGCGGGTAGGAATTCATACAAAACTGCGATTTCGTGAGTTTTGAAATGAAATAGTAGCTCTTCTACCGGGTGTGGGCGCGGTTAAATATCGCTTGGTTAGTTCTTCTTTGTGTGCTAAAGAGATGCGTGCCTTTAAAAATTGATTGAAAAATTATAAATAGGACTCCAATGTTACATTTCACAATATTTGATCTATGAATTTGGCGCAGTATTTTGCTGTAATATACCACCAATAGGGCTCCATTATTAATACAAAGTATTACATTAAATGTATTTACAGATTAAATTTTTAAACTCAATTGCAAGTAATAATAATTAAAATAACAAATAGCAGATGTAAATGCGGAGTGAAATTTGTAATACCTCGTTAATAAAAATTGCGTGTGATAGAAATTGCGTTACTAAAAGTTACTAAACGCGATTTTTATTAACTGTTAAGTATGTATGTAGTTACAAATTTGTTTTCTTTCATTATGTTAAAATTTTGCTAGTTTCCAAAAATGTGTTCTAATTTAATTTCTGAGAACTAATCAAACAGGTGAGCACAGCAGCGGAAGACGACTGTGAAAATTTGAGCAGATAAAGATATTTAAACGTGGATTTGATCAGTGACCAAGATGAATACCGACCATTCATTCAACCTATTTCCTTCCAGTTATAAATAAATGCGCATTATTGTTGTACAAAAATGTATAATTATGTTTATCCAAATAATTTTACCACATTTCGGCATAATACACAGCGCACTCACCACAATATTGATATTTTGAACAAATTTTATATATTGTCTATGGTTTAAGTTCATTGTCTTATTAACCTTTACCCTCATCGGGTATATTGACTGACACTGTTTTAGGTCTTTGCCTATCTGTGATGTGGACACTGGCGCTTGCTGGACCACTTCGGCGTATTTCGTCGGTAGTTGTGATTTTGCACTCGACAACGTGGTAGTTGCACGTGGGAGCACCACGGTCGAATTCGGGCTGAGGTATGATCGCATTCGGTATGTCACCCAGATTCTTCGATTCCTCTTTGAATGGAGGACAGCTGAAAATATGGAAAACAAAAACAAATGAACTAATAAACTTGTATTACTTACACTTAGTCGTTCTTTTATTTAAAAGCTAGCTGTTCCCAGCAACTTCATCCGCGTGGTCTTTGTTTACGAATATATTTCATGGGTTTTAATTTTTGTGCGTGGAACCCTAATAGTGTTTCTAAAATAAAAGTAGCCTAAGTTACTCCTTATAACATCAGTTATCTGCCAGTGAAAGTCCCGTCAGAGTGAACAAACAGACAGACAGACAGACAAATATTTTTAAAATTGCTTTTGTTATAAGTGCCGTATATAGTTTCATATGCATTTAGTAAAAAAAAAAACTGTTATTTTGATATTACAAACAGACACTTCAATTTCATTTATTTGTATAGATAAATGACTCCTATAGCGAGACTCTCGTTGCATATACACATGTGATTTAGATGAGTAAGTGTGCACTATATGTTACGCAGTTTACGATTTCTGATAGAATCGACTTTACTTTAGGCAACGTACACCGATCTGAAGGCTTAGGAACTCAAGCGACTCTACGCAACGCTAGATATGCAACGTGTATCCAAATAGATACGCAAATTATACGTTAATTAATGAATAACTATTCACAAAGTATTTTATTTTAATAAAACACTACAAAGTCAAATCCTCATTTGTAGTTTAGTATTATAGCAGTTAAGGCGACACCGCGAAAAAATGCACCTCCTTTCAGCGAATAGTATAGGAGTATGACACGACTAACGAAATTGGAATTTTGATATAGGTAAATTCATGTCTTTATCTTGAGTTTGCTTGCTCAAAAACACGATTGTAAAATTTTGACCCGATCATAATAATTTATGAAAACACCTCTAAAAAATCACTATAGTTGAAATTACAACGAAATTACTTAATCTATATGCTTGGAAACCACTCGAATACATTCATAACATCAATATTCGTAATTTACTTGCTCATTATTTTGATTACTAAAATCAATAATTTTTTAAAAATATTTTAAGATTCTACGCGATTTCTTAGCGGTTTTAATCATCGTGGGTGCTATGCAATTTTAGACCTTATAACGGCGTTTTTGAAGTTTTTTATAGAAATTATGTTTTACTCTGGTTAGTCCGGCGATAGCCCGCTTCAAAGGTTTTCGATGTGTCGCCTTAACCTTAATATTCAGTTTTTAATTGTTTGACAAAAAGTCATTGAGTCAACTGAAGCGTGGTATTGCTTTATATTATAACTAGACTAGACGCTAAATATACAATTTCGTTCTCATTCAACCACTGTTTTCGTGGCCCTGACTATTATTTATAAGCACTGTTCAATTTTACATTTTTACTACGGTAGAGGCTCACGTCTGACAGAGAAACCTCCCTGTCAGACGTTTCACACTAGATCACTCAGTCACAATTTTTCATTTTGTTTGACATAATGATTTTTTTTGATATTTACACGAATGCGATAAAATCCGTAAAGTCAATGAGTGATCTGTAATAGCGTGGTATTAATATCTATATATTAGACTATATATATAGCTATAAATACAATTATTATACATTCGTTCTCACTCGACCACCGTTTATGACGCCTTGACTATTTTTTACTATAGGCACACGTCTAGCAGTAGATTGTTTAAGGGTTTATAAGAAGCAGAATTGTAGTAACCAAAAAAGTGAAACATAAATTATAAATTCTCCAATTTATAAAAGGGCAAGAGTCAAAATGTATCATAATCAATAATATATCATAATGTATATTTACCTCAGAGGCGGCGGAGTCGGAGAGCGCGACAATGGAAAACTAGCGACATCCCTCGATATCGCCAAGGACTTGATAGAGCCGAAGGTTTGTTCAGGACTAAGCGGAGCTCCTAAAACTGATGCCATCCCTCTGCGATGATAATATTTTTATTAAAATGTATATTAAAAAGTAATTTCTTTTCGAAAAGTGCACGGTGTGTGTGCATAAGAAGCTTTCGCTAAATGCTATTGAAAAATCACTTTTAAACAACATAGATAAGGACTTAGCTCTTAAATCTAAAATTACATTAATTATTCCTTGTATTAAAAGTCCCAGAGCTGGGCATAGGCCTTCTCTCATTCATTTTGCTAAGTCATGGATCAGTTAGTCTGCCACTCTGTTCTTCCATGTTGGCATTTCCTCAGACGAAGGTTTCCTCCGTATGTTTTATTTCCGCAAAACTTTCGATTCCATACTACCACGGCTTTTCTAGTCTGAACATATTTCCTTTTATTACTCGGTTTCTACTTACTTTACGAAATTTGAAGGCAGGCCTTACAGCTTAGCTACCACAGGTGTTATGTGAAAATGTTTAAGAATTACACTACTCATTCTTTATCACTCCATAAGCATTTGCTGTATACTACGTTTGGAAGGAATACAATTGACCCATTGTATTTACTACCAGACGTCTCACAGCTTTGGTTCTGCTTTTGTCGTCAGTCATGTTACTGTAGGACTGGAATATGTGAGATGGTTATGCAGCCATATATTGGAGTTTATGAAACCTTTAGGTCCTTTCAATATCCACGGAATTGATTGATCTATTATCGTATTCTCATTTCTATAAAAGTATGGATGACAAACGAGCACACAGTTCACCTGATAGACACCGACATCTATCCTCTATTATGGAATGAAAGCGCACTAAAGTGAACGCCTCGTTACCAGTATCGAGGTTCTTTAAACGACTATTTTGCGCTGGTTTTTTTTATAGGATAGGGTGACAAACGAGCACACAGTCTACCTGATGGTAAGTGGGTGCTGTGACCCATAGACATCTACATCTATCCTCAATAAAGAATCAAAATGCAGATGTGTTGTCACCCGTGAGGACTAAGATGGAATATCTCTTTTCCAGTAAGAAAAGTCTCCGGTTCTCTACGCTCATCATACGAAACAGCAGGGTTAAGTTACTATTTTACGTTAGTATTCTGTGAGAGAGAATGTTCGTCCCCGGTCAAGCCGACTCATTCGTGTTACAACTACCTATACTACCAATATAGCTGCAGCATGGCTCTATCACGTATGGTATTTTAAGAAAGCAGATCGAGAAGACGTTTGTACTGGAGCATAATACATAATGCATAATACAGCTGCAGCGTTGGCTCTATCACATATAAATTGCGGAAAGAGCCACTTTATTAGGTGGCGAGACTTCTTTTCTGACTCCGTCCGTACGTAGGTATCACCCTCGTATCGAATTGTGCCTCCTAATAGCCTGTACTTGCACCACTGTGTTCCGGGCAGAAGGGTAGGGAACCAGTATATTTACAGGCTGTAAGGCATTCCGTCCGAGTAATTTTAGGTTATAACGCATCTGTAGCCTTTTCCTTGAAGTTGGCCGTAGGTGTCCGTGGATTGCAGTAGACACTTACCAGGAACAATATCAAATTAAAATCTAGTATAGTCCCATACACTTTGACATAATGAAGTTTGAGTTAAAACTCGAGATTGTCGCTGACTACTGGCCTAATTCATTTGTTATTTCAGTTTTATAAAAAAAAACTTACACGACGGAGTCGGAGGGCACGAGGAAGGGCAAGGGGGGCGGGCAGGGAGCGTCGGCGCGCGCCGGCGAGGCGGGCTCCGCGGAGCGCGGGCAGCGCGCCGCCTCGCCCTCCTCCTCCATGCCCAGCCAGGCGCGCAGCCTCCTCCACAGCCCGCTCGGGCTGCCTGCACGCACCACGACCAACATATCCATTAATAGTAGTCGCCATTGATGTTTATACGTATATAAAAAAGGTACATGCGGTACTAGCACGCCAAAACTGAAGTGTTGGAAAGTGTTCTATCAGTCACTCCAGCATTTGGCTAACAAATATGACGCCATGACAACGTAAGCTTAAAGAAAAAGTTCTAGAACTGATGCGATAAGAACGCAAAGAGCGAGATAGAATATAGTGAAATGCTTGCATTTCACTACAATCTCTCTCTCTCTCTCTCTATGTCGAATCTCGCTATTTCCGAATGTATGGGCCTCAGCAACCATTTACCATCAGGTGGACTGTGTGCTCCTTTGTCACCCTATTTCTATAAAAAAAATCGGAATTCCGTGTGTATGGGGCCGGCCTAAAACATTAGAATGTTTATATGTGCTGCCGCTGAGGCCTGGAATCGGTACATTTTTTTTTCGGTGGTTTTATGGGCATATAATGTAGATACATAAAAATATCATTGGTAATCGCACGTTCTTTTTTTAATTATTACAAGCCAGTGCCCGACTATCGTATGTTATAAAACATTACCTCCACACTGGGATTATCTCCTGTATCGTTGGAACAGTATACAATTTTCATACATAAATTTTATAAGGACAAACATCCACACCCGGAACAATTACTTGTAGGCCAAACAAATAACTATTTCATGGGAAATTCGAATTCGCGGCCCATCGCGTTGCAACTTATTGCTAAGCCACTGTTAAACCCAACAGTTACTAGTCTGCTTAAGTAATGTAAAGTTGCAGCCTATACGTTCCGCTGTAAGGCACATGCTTCCCCTAATTTCTGAGAAGGTTTTAGGGCAATAAAGTGACCACATTGCATACATGGTGATGTGACCACCCCTGCAGTATTGACCGTGTAGTGGCAGTGTAAGAATATCCAATACACCATTTCGTCCTGTCGGTGTCGTAAGAAAAACAGATAGGCAATAAACATCTTGCATGTCATAAAATATTTACAATAGTTTATTAAAAATAATCATAGCCCAACGGATTAGTAAGCTGAAGTGGCAATGGGCCGGCCATATAGCTCGAAGAACCGACAACCGATGGGGAAGAAAGGTTCTCGAGTGGCAGCCTCGTACCGGCAGGCGAAGTGTAGGGCGTCCCCCTACTAGATGGAGTGACAAAACGATGGATGCAGGTGGCTCAGGACCGTGCTTTGTGGCATTCTTTGGGGGAGGCCTATGTTCAGCAGTGGACTTGTGAAGGGCTGTAATGATGATGATGATGATGATTAAAAATAAAACTAAACCAATTAGACTATAAACCTAGGCTTCATTAACTCAATTTGGGAAAATGTTTTTTACTTACGGGTGTTGTTTTACTTACGGGAATACTTTCTACTGTTCTGAGGACTAAGAGGGTAGAAGTCTCCGTGAATTGGACAGTGGAAGGCGAGTCGGCGTTGTCGACGTTGGGCGGCGCGCATCAAAATGCATAGAACTATACCTGGAATTTAAAAAAAAAAACGAATTCATTATGTACGTACTTTTAAAGAAGTACGTTACATCATCACACATTAAAATTGCAAATTGCAGGAAGTCGATAGATATAGGTGGCTCAGGACCGTGCTTTGTGTCATGTGGAGGAGACATATGTTCAGCAGTGGACTTGTGAAGGGCTGTAATGATGATGATAATGATGATATTAAAATTTCTCTTTGTAAGCGCTGATCAAAGAGCTTTCTCAGAATTCGCGCTATCAGAAAGATTTGTCCATACTCACCAGCTCACCATGTTGGGATGGCGGGCTGGTGTTCGTACGTTCAATGCGATATTTTCACACATTAGCGTAACAAGCAAACCAGCAAAAAACCTACGCCACTGTCTTCACACTGGAAATGCTACGTACGGTCCAGGCAGTGAAATTTGCAAGCATCTCGTCCAGCAATTAGCAGAGTGCACTGCGTACTTCGTAACAAAACTTTTGGTGCTTATTTTGTGTATTTATCGAAGAGTAATTCGAATATTATGATCGGTTACAAATACTCGTAAGGTAGATATTTAGTAAGTTAAGTAGGCAATTAGGAATTCCTCACATTTCAGTTAGAATTTTTTTTAATCTTAATATTTCAATTTCTAATATTTATTGTCATCATCATCATCATTACAGCCCTTCACAAGTCCACTGCTGAACATAGGCCTCCCCCAAAGAATGCCACAAAGCACGGTCCTGAGCCACCTGCATCCATCGACTTCCTGCATGTCTTACCAGGTCGTCACTCCATCTCGTGGGGGGACGCCCTACACTTCGCCTACCGGTACGAGGCTGCCACTCGAGAACCTTTCTTCCCCATCGGTTGTCGGTTCTTCGAGCTATATGGCCGGCCCATTGCCACTTCAGCTTACTAATCCGTTGGGCTATGTCGGTTACTCTGGTTCTACTGCGGATATCCTCATTCCTAAGTTTATCACGCAGAGAAACTCCGAGCATAGCCCTATCCATAGCTCGCTGAGCGACCTTGAGCTTCCTCATCCGGCCAGCAGTGAAGGACCACGTCTCAGTTCCGTATGTCATCACTGGCAACACGCACTGGGTGTACAGTCTCGTTTTCAAGGTTTGAGGTATACCTAACGAGAAGCTGCCCAACCGAGTTGAATCCGTCGATTGACCTCTCGGTCGAAGTTGGACTTACCTAGTCGGACTATTTGTCCCAGGTAAACATACTCGTCAACAACATCGGATGAGACTCGCTCTTGGATCGTTACTCACACTTGCGTGTGGCTCCAACGATGACGTGTACAACTGCCCATAGAACCTCTCAATCTCAGTCAAAATCTCAGGTGTCCCGGAAACGATGCTGCCACATTCTGTCTTCAGCTTTGACAGTTGGCTCTTTCTGGCAGACAGATCTCTGGCAAAGACTTTGGAGCCTTGGTTCCGCTCGATCGCTTCTTCAATACGAGCTGTATTGAAGTTGCGTAAGTCCCGCCGCATGCATTTGGAGATCTGTCTGTTCAGATGCCTGTATGCTGTCAAGTCTGTTGAAGAATGTAGCTTCATCTCCCGTCTAACAGCCATGAGATTAAGAGTGTGATCGGAGAGTTTTTGTGTTCTTCTGCGGCGGGTCTTGCAGAACTTAGCTCCGACCGCATGGACAGTTTCCACGAGCTTGTCATTCATATCGTCCACTTCATTGCAGTCTTCTAGGCACTGAAAACAGTTTTGTAACTCGAGCTGAAAGGTTTCGGGACTTTGGGCTAGAGCACGAGGGGGACGGAGCGTTGACTTCATTAGACGAGACCTCTCCAACTTAACGTTTAGGTTCAGTGTGCCTCTAACCATTCGGTGATCGCTACCAGTTTTCACCCTCGCGATCACGGAGACATCACTGAACAGTTGTCGTCTGGTCGTCATAATGAAGTCAATCTCATTTTTTATCGAACCGTCGGGGCTCGACCAGGTCCACTTCCTGTGGGGCCGCTTCTGGAAGAAAGAGTTCATCATAAAGAGTCCCTCTTTCTCCATGAAGTCGGCCAGCTGCTGGCCCTTTGGGTTCCGTTGCCCTATTCCAAATTTCCCTACTTTCAGCTCACCGTTCTCTCTTGTGCCTAGTTTTGCATTAAAGTCTCCCATTAACACCGTATATTGGGTTTTGGAGGAATGCATGGCTCTAGAGATATCCTCATACATTTCCTCCACCTCCTCATCGGGGTGTGCCGAGGTTGGTGCGTAAACCTGTATGACCTTCAGCGAATACCGTTTGGTAATTCTGAGTATAAGGTACGCAACCCTCGTCGACACACTCCCGATCTTTACAACGTTGTTAACGAGAGACTTGTGGACGATAAATCCGACACCTCCTTGGGACAGATGGTCGCCCTCCCGGTGATAGAGCAAGTTGCCGGATTCGAGGATTACCGTGTCCTCCCCCTCTCTTCGGACTTCGGATAATCCTATAATATGCCAGCGCAACTTGTCTATCTCTTCTTCCAGCTCCACGATCTTCTCGTCAGTCCTCAGGGTGCGTGCGTTGTACGTTGCCAGGTCGAGTCGTCTAAGGTGGCAACCGAACCTCCACCGGAGATTCTTAGCACCCCCTGCCCCGCCGTTACCATGGTCGCCACCGTAGCCAGGAATAGCGGGGCCGCCGGGGACTGGGGGCCGTTTCTTTGTTACTGTCATTCATAGGGGGGTATTTGCCATAGTTGCCACGCTTGGCGAGCGGGTTGGCAACCGCAGTTTTTTTTTATTGTTAGTTTGTTGTTATCAAGAAGATGCTGCTGCCCATCTCCTGCATGTTTCCCTTTGTCGCCTTTTACGACACCCACGGGAGGATATGGGGTAGTGGATATTCTTGACCGCCACTACACGGCAAGTATTGTAAGTACGTAAAATATGCTCATAATCGTGTTTATGGACTTTGTCAAATCAGCAAAACTGCAGGAGCATTGACACCCCTTGAGTATCAATATGGAATGACTGACCAGTAAAAATGATCTTCAGTTCTCATCACTTAGCATATGAAAAACAGCAGAATCAAATTTCTATTTTACGCTGGTAATTTGTGTGGCATTTGTTTTTTCTCGGTGGAGTAGATTCATTCGTGCAGCAGCCGTAATATGTTAGCTGCATCGTGGCTCTACCAGTTTACAAAAGTCAAAGCTAAATATATTATTACATATTAGATAATTTTGCATTAATTTTTACGATATGGAACATATTTTGCATGTCGCCCACTTCCTTACCTACAGGAAGTATGTGGCATGACGCGCGACAAGCCGCTTGATGTTTTCATTTCAAACTTTATCAAAATTATACACCTTATTGAGTAACTTGTTCATTAAATTTAAGTTCTCTACCACAAACTTAAGGTTCAAAATTCATAAAATAGTATTGTGCGGTTGATCACTCACCAGCGATGGTCATAAGCGCACCAGTAACGATGCAGACAGGACCGAGTACCCTCGAATTACCAGTGAACGCGATCCGCGCCGCGTAGTGGTCGGGCTCCTCGTTCTCACCGCAGCCGCGGTACGAAGCCGCTGAAACCGCGAAATTGACGATCAGTTTACATAGTGTGTTATATTATTATTCGCATAATGCTCGCGCTGTGAACAGTGACAAGGGCTTTTTAAAATGTATGCAATAATTATAATATTCTTGAACTATATTCCGCGTAGTGGCGGCGTAACCCTTGTCTGATGGTATTGGCCACAGATACGGTGTCACCTCTCAGTATTTAGATGCAATAGCTCACAGCTTGTAACTATACTGGATCTCTATATTTGGCGGCAGAAATAGAGGTGAATAGATGTCATAAGAGACGACAAAAGCAAATAAAAGAGGAGATGGGCAGCAGCATCTTCTTGATAACTCCTCAAAAAGCCACGGTTGTCAACCAGTCTGATAAGCGTGATAATCTATAGAGAGGCCTGTTTAGTTTAGTCTAGGCTAAAACGATTGATAATAAATGTAATACGATTACGTATATGATGACTCGGTTAGCGCGGAGTACAAACGCTTGGCTGCGGTGCTGCGAGCTACCGATTCGAATTTAGCACGGCAAAAGTATTTGTAAAGCCTACAAATTATTGTTCCGTGTCTGGAATGTTTGTCCATGAGCAATTTGTGTATTTAAAGCGCCTTCACGATACGGGAGTATTAGTGTACCCCACAAAATTGCTTAAAATTATATTGTTTAAATGTAATTTTATAAATATGGGTAAAACTGTAAGTGGCCATGAATACATGTGCAATATATATATATATATATATATATATATTGGTGCAATTAGCTCCCCGCGCTGAGCCAGTGCGTGGTGCGTATTGGCAGACATGCAGTTTTACTCACGATATTTTCCTTCGCCGTTTAGCACGTGGTAAATCAGCAATTAAAATTGCAAATAACAATTTTATTGGTGCTCTTAAGGTTGAGATCGAACCTTACTTAAACCTTAGCCGCTGAGTTACTAGTGAGATAAGAGCTGACTAAAATTTATAATACAATAAAAACTTAAAAAAAAGTTCTTTCAGTTTTTATTAAAATGTCATGCTCAATCAAGAAATTAATTAGTCCAAATACTTTTGCATAAACATGAACATAATGGTAGCATTGAGAGATAAGTGTTTTTCATCTTCAACGGTTTCAGATCAAAATTAAAACAGAAATAGTCCTAGAACTAAACTAAAACTACTTTCCATAGAATTTTGGTAACATACCTGTAAGCACACATCCGACTAGCATGAACAGAAATCCGAATATCGGTAATGCGATCTGGCAATTGGCAGCAACGACAACACCTGCCACTGCAAGACCGCCTTCTACTTTCTCTACGCGCAGCCTGGATATAGCCGGAGGACATCTTGGCTTTCCAACAGGGGCTCGAACCAGAGGCTCCCCGGGAGGTGACGTCGTCCTATAAAAAAGAAAAACAAAATCAGCTACGGTTGTCAAATGTAGTGGAAAAATATATTTTGCTAAGAAAATACAAACAAATTTATTATGAACCTATGGAGCAGAAAGTTTAAGAAAAGTGTTTACTTTCAGATTTATTTAGTTTTCAGAGAAATTTTGATTCAATAATTGCAATTAGTTTCAGTCTGATATTATTAGATACAATTTAAACGACAAATTGAACGATGAAAATTTAATAATTTACGACGAATCGCAAGAACTAGTAGCCTAGACTATGTTCCCCACCACCCAGTAATATATATAATATAAGTAAGTTTGTTAGTAAATTTATTGATTTTACTATAAAAACGTATTTACGTAACTTTTGAGGTATATGACAATAATAAAGAAACTATGTAACAATTTAATATAATTACGTATTAAACTGCATGAATACTAAGCATTAAATCATATAAAAATAATTAGCACTAATTACGGTCATGGAATTCAACATCACCTAACAAAGTTCTTTGTCTGTTCAGCAGTTTCCTCATTTGGCAACTTGAACGCTATTTGTAGTACTTGTGTACATTAATTATGTCTATATTCAACAAGGCTACCCACATGATAGTACTTAGTAGTGTCTGAGTTACTAACATTACATGTAATCTTGTGTTACAATTAAGTTAACATCTGTTTATTCTTTGTATATTTTCCGGTATTTTAACATGAAGTAAGACCTATTGCTGGGCACAGGCCTCGTCTCATTTCTGAGAGGGGTTCAGGGCAAGGAAATGATCGCGCGCTGCCCCAATGCGTGTTGGCAAACTTCACAATTAAATAAATTTTAACATAAAAACCTTTTACTACGCTTTTTCGCTCATGGTTCATCATTGAAAAAGGTTCTTGAGTGACAGCCTCGTATTGGTAAGCGCATTGTACGGTCCTACTTAGAGACGTGGCAGTTGATGGCATGTTGGTGTGTTTTGAGGTAAGTCTTGGGAGATGTCTGTATTAAGCTCGAGACGAGACTCTGACGATCACAGATCATTATCGACCGAACGATGACGAAAAATCATCCCAAAATGCCGAATCTGAGTTACCTCACCTTTTGTACGTGGTAGAGCCATGTCGCAGTATAATTGTATATTAGTAGTATAATTGTAGCACGAATGGGTAGGCTCGATCGGGGAAGGACCACGCTCTTACAGAATACCAGCGTAAAATGGCAGCTTGACACTGCTGTGTTTCGTATGTTGAGTGTAGAGAACCGGAGACCTTATTTACTGGAAACGAGGCGTTCCATCTTAGTCCTCACGGGTGACAACACATCTGGATTTTGATTCGCAAACGAGGATAGATGTAGATGTCTACGGGCCACAGCAACCATTTACCATTAGGTGGACTGTGTGCTCGTTTGTCACACTATCCTATAAAAAAAAACCTATTTCTGCCGCCAGATAGCAATGCTTGCACTGATATATTCCGGTCGGCACAGTATAGAGAACCCAACAACAATAAAGAAGACAACACATCGGTATCCTTGTTTGTTTGAAGTGGGCTGCATACTTCCATGGGCTGCAGTAGCCATTTATCATCAGGTGGACTAAAAGTGGGTCAGTTCAGTTTTATAAAATATAGATTGATGATGGGGAACAGCATTACCGGTACGAGCTGCGCTAAATGACTCACTTACCCATATGACAAGTTTTAAAGTTATGTTACAAAGTGAATAATGTTCTCAAAATATTACTTCAAAGAAAAGTATTAATATTTTAGATTGTCAGCAGAGGTCGTGAAAATTTGTTATCAATTTCAATAAATGTCTTGTTTCAAAATTTTTATGGTTTTCTCGTTTGCGGTTGTAACTATGTCTATCTAATAAGCCAATAACTCAACTTATGAACGAAGAACGAACCTATTAACAAAATTAGCCGGGATTTACATTATATTAGACATGTTAAAAATTAATTAGTTGAGATTCGCGTAAAAACTTGTAAAATTAATTAACTAACATCCGTGTTTTTTACGCGGATTATAGCCAACGAACTGGTAACCGACAAAATGGCGATGTGTTTTGCGGCGTCTCATCGGCATAGTGATAAGATATATACTATTTTTCCAATTGTATCGTAGTACTGCATGACTGTGTTTCTTGAAAAGGACCTGTGAGCAATGGTGGGCTTTAAACAAACTGACGATATTTATTTCTTCGCAATTTAAATTTGAGAAAAATTCATACAAATCCATACCATTAGATTCTCAAGTTCGGTGGCGTATTGGAAAATTGAGACAGATGAACTCGCTGATTATCGCCATACAACAATTAATAGAATATTTGGGAAGAAGTAACTGTATGTGCAACTGTATGGTTGGATTTGCCGGCCACAAAGAAACTGGTTCTTATCCCACATTTTAGGCAAATCCACATATTTTATTCATAGAACCATTAAAGTACTCAGCAATACGATAATGTAATATGTAAAATCCATAGGTATCTCTTCAAACTAATTCGCTTTGCATATTTAATGCATAATGCACGTGACGCACTCGCAGGGCAGGCGTGCGTGAGACCTAAAATAAATTTATTCGATACGTCTCCATGCGCCATGAAATCTATATGACACATAGCACGTGTATATAATGTAATTCATTAATAGAGGCCTTGAGTACCTGCCTGATCTTATAATTGAATAAAAAACTTCAACTATTTAGAAGCGACTTTGGACGCGTCAAAGTTTATGATGCGTGACTTGAAATAGTAAATACCTACCTACTAAAAACATTTCATTCGTAGAAATAAAGTGTGTAGTGAAATTCAAGAAAAATTGAAACGAATTATCACAATCATCATCATTACAGCCTATCACAAGTTCTCAGCTGAACGTAGGCCTCCCACATAGATTGCCTCATATTTGTCATAATTGCCACACTCTGCAGACGCGTTGACAATCGCAGGGTTATTATAACTTTGGGTTGCCATCTTTTTGAACAAGTATAGTATTTTTCCCAAAAAAGATGCAAAAATATAATACTTTTGGGAAATTCAGGAAATAAAAAGTACACATTTATTTTTTAATCTTTATGTATTTTTCCATAAATATTTGTTATTGCTCTTCGCTTTGGCCATCATTTAACCTTTAAAATAATTATAGGAATCTGAGCAATGTAGAGTCATATCAAAATAAATTAACAATTAATATTAAATTAAATGAATACATGCTCTATTTCTTTCTTCTTTCCCTTTTATATTCACGATGGAAAACATTCTTCCCCTAAAACTTACTTGTTCTAGACTTCCAGTCACAGATAATATAAAAAAGCGCGACAGTTGAATTAGGGACAAAATATAGTATTTTTCGTAATATATAATGTTTTTATAATATATAGTACAATTGACTGAAATATAATACGATCTATATATTATAGCACTGGTGGCAATGCTAGTTGTTATCCGGAGATGCTGCTGCCCATCTCCTGTTTCAGTTTCCCTATGCCTATTACAACATCCACGGGATAATATGAGGTGGTGGGTCTTCTGAAGAAAATATAGAATAAAGTAATTCTATATTTTCTTTTAAAAATTGAACAATTGATAAATACAACGAACTGGCTATAAAAATTAAATAACAATTCATACTAAGTATTAACAACGCAAATGACAAATGTAGTTACAAATCATGGCGCCACACACTATCAATAGCTAGTCTCCCGCCAAGAAATTTTACTCAAGAGATGTCACGCCAGATGACTACGCGTTGTTTTATAACTGAACTACAGCTATGCTTGATCATATTATATTTTATTAAGTTGCGAGCTTTTGTACTCGGCAATTTTAATGTTTTTTTTTTTAAATAAAAGTAGTAAGATTATTTTTAAATAAAATTCCATCTCTGGTTGTTTTATATTTATAATACTTTCGCACCTTTAGTGTACCTTTAGGTAAAAATTTTGTTTCGAAATTTATGGCGTAGCAACATTTTATATAATTTGATTTAAATGCAATTTTGGACAGATCATGGGCAAAATATCCGAAAGTCGGAATTAGGAAGAAATCCACAATCTGTTGTGCTTATTTGCGTATCCGGAACGGTCGCAATCTCGCAATGAAGACATAAAAAAGAAAACGTAAACATAACAAAAACAGAAAACAGCACAATCGTAAAAGTTAATGTAAATAGTAATTTAATGTGTGGTTGTTACTGGTTACTTTTGGATTATTATGTAATTGATTTAATATTACAAATATAGTTAAAAAAAAAATACTTCATTTTTGAGTCGATGCGTGTACGCCCGCGAAGGATTCTGGCATAAAGTGAATATTGTGTTATTAGTTTGTTCCTTTTCTATGTGTTCCTATATTATACTATTCTTCAGATTACGACAAAAATTAGGTGAATTTTTGACAAAAAAAAAGACATTTTCAACGCATGCCGGGCATAGCTAAAAAATTAAAATATATATATTTTTCTGCCGACTTCCAAAAAGGAGACGGTACTCAATTCGAGTGTATGTTTTTTTTTTTATGTGTGTTACCTCATAACTTTGTACTGGGGGAACCGATTTCGATGATTCTTTTTTATATGAAAGCTGATAGTTCTCGTGTGGTCCCATATGAATTTGATCAAGGTCAGACCAATGGTTATTGAGTTATTCTTAAATAACTTATATTGAAGTCGCTTATATTGAAGTCGGCTGTATAAAATTTTTAATTTTAAATTATTTACAGAATAAGGGTGACAAGCGAGCTCACAGTCCACCTGCTAGCATAAATCTATCGTCGATTAAGATTAAAAATGCAAATACGTTGTCACCGCAACTAAGATGGAATATCTCGTTTCCAGTTAAGAGGGTCTACGGTTCTCTACACTCACCATCGGAAACAGCAGAATTAAGCTGGTATTCTGTGAGGGCGAGATCCTTCCCCGGTCGAGCCGATCCATTCGTGCTACAACCATAATACAGCACGCTGAAAAACACGGCTATAAACGCTACCGCACGTCAAAAAACGTGCTTTGCATA